ACAAAGTATACAGAAACTTTTAAATTATCATCATCAGTATACTAATCAGAGCCTTTTATCATCATCATCATCATCATTGTCTTGGTATCAATTCAATTTATTGTCTGGTTGATTCTCATTATGTAGATGTGTAAATAATATCAAGGTGACAATAAACATCAAGTTGGTGCTGAGGTTGTGAGGAGGATCATCATCATCAGGATGAGGATGAGGATGAGGATGAGGATGATGACAAAGGTTGTTATTTCCTTTGTCATCTTTGTCATCATTCTCTTTCTCTGGTCTTTCATGAAGAAAAGTCTATTCCCCATTCTCATCATCACCAGAAGTTGTTATTTCCAGGGAAGAGTTTTTTTCTCTTCAGAATCTTATTCATTTCAAAGAAGGAAGAACTTTTTTTTTCATCTTCTCATCTTTTCTCATCATTAATTCAGACATTTATTCAGACTAATAATCATGATGATAGGTGATGATGTGATAATAACAATCAAATGATAATAATGTTAACATAAACACCCTGATTACCTGGAGGCAATTGGTTAACAATGGGAGAGAAGAAAAAAAAATTTTTCTCTCAAAATCCTCATCATTATCATACAGAACTTTCCATGAACACTCATCATCTTCATGATGGTTTAACAATATACAGTTTCCGGAACTGAATTAATTTGCTCAACTGTTAATCGCGACCAACAATCAACAAGTTAATCAATTTTTTACTGCTACGATTACTAAATGGTAACCATTTTGTTTGGTGAAGCAAAAAGATAAACTTGATCAGCTTGAATAATTGATTTAAATTGTTCACTTTTGATTGAGGTTAATTCAGTTGATTTAATCATAACAATTTAGTTTTTTCCTATTATATTTAATCATTGGTTAATCAAGAAAACATTTAAAACATGATAACTGGATTAATCTAATCTGGTGAATCCTTGATTTTCATGGCTCTCAAACTGATTAATAATTATATATACACACACTAGTTTGATTAACAATTGAACAATTGATTAAATTTGATAACAATTGAAAGTGACAAAAATTAAACATGAGAGTAACAATCAATTGTTGAATATACAATAATTAATTGTTTATTTTTATATATACAATCAATTGGTTATATTGTGAGTTTACAATTTTTCATGATTAAATTGATTGTTGATCAAATTGTTTAAAAGAAAAAGATTAATATGATTTAGTGGTTTAATTTTAGGAATAGGAATCAATCAATTGATTTGAACAATTTAAATTGTAAGATCTGGAAACAGTTGATAATCATATGGTTAAATGTGTATAATAGGAAAAAAAGTTTTCATTGTTAATTGTTGTTTGATATGATTAACAGTTTTTTTCACAATTTCAATTAAATTGAAAATCTATCCGACAATAGGTTGATTGTTGTTTAACTTGATAATAAATTGTTAAGGAAAATTGAATGAATCAAATTGATTATTTGTTGTATGATTAAATTGCGTAAATTGTTTAACCAAATTGTTAATTGTTGAGAAATAATAATAACAGGAAATATTTTAATCATATTTATATTGTGATAATCGGGTGAAAATCAGAGTCATTTTAATTGTTGTACAATTATTAGTTGGAAGATAACAATTGATTCAATTGTATTGAATGAACCAGTAATTCAATCAATATAATGAAATCAGTTTATGATTAATTGTAATAACAATTAACCTTGAACTTAAAAATCGATGCAAATTCAAGTAAATCAACAATCAGGTCAAGGTAATAATAAGAAATTAGTTGTATTAGTAATTGATTGGAAAAACTTTGTCCATTCATTAATGAGAAATGATCAAGTCTAATTGTTCACAATTAATTGATTGTGAGTTGATTGAAGAAAAAACCAGAAGTCATCTTGAAATGGATTAAAAAAGAAGGAGATGAAAAAAGTTCACCTTAAAGTTAATCTAATCTCCGTGTTGATCTTAATCTTTTCATCCTCATCCCTCTATTATCATCAAATCAAATCATCTCTTTAGTAATTGTTGGTTTGTTTCAAGTTCTTATGACGGTTTTTCGCCAGGTAAAAGACTCCAACCCCTCCCACCCTCTCCTCCTTTTCTTACCTTTTATCATCATCCTCCTCTTTCCTTTCATCATCTTTCATCATCAACAAAAACCTTTCAACAGTACAAAAGGTAACAATGGTTAACGATAATTATAATAATCGAAATCGGTTCTCTGGTTAGAACTTTTCTTTTCATTCTCCTCTATTAATATCGTTAGTGCATAGTAGTTGATTCTTAGCACTTTTCTTTTCATTATTATTACATTTCGATTGAAAATAACATAATGATAATAATCAATTCTCTCTCTCTCTCTATCTCCTCTCTGGTCAGTGTAACTTACGATCACATGTATTACCTTGACCTCTCTCTCTCTCTTCACTGGGATGTTGAAAAGTCGTTGAAAAAAGGTGTTGACGTTTTTTTAGAAAGTAAAGAAAACTTTTATTTTCTTTTACCTGTACAACGAACCTACAATTATTATATATCAATAAAGTGTAAATATAATCAATATATTGATTATGTATCCAAAATATAATGTATAAAAAGGAGACTGGACACCTTGACCTTTATATTGGATTGGGTTCTGTTCAATATTTTTATGTTATTGACACGACGATAACAATATAATCCAATGTAATATAATTTCACCTATTCATTTATTGGCACCAATTTTATCATCATCATCATCACCATCAGCACAACCTCCAATTACCTTTGGAGTAAAAAAAAACATATACATAAAAATGGAAAAGGTAATAAACTGACCAACAAACAAAGTCCATTATGTAATAATAAATGTGAAAGTATTTTTGTTTTCACAACAAAATAATATATTTATTAACTTGTTACCTATTTTGAGTAGCCTATTGTTTCATCAACTTGGACATGGTCACTCATATGATTCCTATAAATAAAAAGTAATATGAATCATCCTAATGACCAGAATCATAAACTTTCAACAATCACATCTCATTATCATCCTCATCTCTTATCAACTATAAACCAATGGACATAAACATAACTAATAGTATTCATGTTGGGTTATTGTTATTCACAATTCCCATGTAAATGAATATTTTTTTTTATTCATCCATTCAGATAACAGACAAAAAAAGTTCATGATGATGAGAAGTGGGTGGATGATAATGATGATTACTATTGACTGACCAAAAGTATCCAAATAGTAACAATGATAATAAGTTGTTTTCTCTCTCTCTCTCTCTCTCTCTCTCTATTATTTGTATCATTATATTGAAAGTTTGCCAGTTTCCTTATCCGGTCTAGAAAAGCAAAAAAAAATAATAAACACATTGAATGATAATAATACAACATTTGGACAATGATAATGATTATAATGGCAACAATTTAACATCAACATGAAAATATCTACATGAAAATTACCTCACAATGTTGTTATTGAATTGAATTCATTGGTTGATGGTGAAAAAAATTCATACAATTTACTTGTGTTTATGGGAATGGTGATGAGGATGATGAGGATAATCTGATTGTCTTCATCTTCCGGTCAGGATTTCCGATCAGATTAACTGTTTACATGATATTCTGATTGTCCAGTAGATGAAAAAAATTTTTTTCTTCACTCCCTTGATTATCTTGTCCTCTAATGGACATAGTGATGACCATCATCATAATTTGATCGCCATGATTAGTGAAAAAAATATATTTCATTCAACTGAACTTCAATGAATTATGATAATAATGTTACTTGATTTTTCAACGTTAAAATAATCACCCAGTGAGAACATCAAATCAATTAGTTTATCTTAATTAACTTTAATTGTAACTTTTTTGTTTCATTTGTTTGGTATTGAAACTTGGCCTATTGTAGTTTATTGTGTTGGTTATATTTTTGTATTACCTGGTCTGTTGATTGCTGATTGTTGTTGATTGTAAATGGTAACAATTAGTAAACAATATAAAAACTTTTTCCTCTCATTGATTAGATGAAATGAAAAAAGTTTTCTGCTTCAAATTGTCGAGCTGTTTAATTGTTTACTTTGATCTATTGGGTGTTGTTCACAATTAAATTAGTGATCTAGACTTTTTCGCAGTTAATTGTTACCCTTAAATTGTTTACAATTTAGATACCATTTAATCAATTGTTATCATTTTGTTAATTTCAATCCTCTTAAACCAAAGTGATTAATAGTTTTGTCAATGATATTAAATAATTGATGGTTTTATATATATGTTGATTGTTAGTTTGGACAATTAACTTAATCAGAATCAAAAAAAGGATCGTTGATTATTGATTGTGATTATCATGATGTATTGTAGTTAATTGGTTCACTTTGGATAATTAAATAAATTGTATTAGTTTCACATTGATTTCATTTACTTCAATTTGATTGTTGTTACTGTTTCTTATTATTGTCTATTTGAAGGTTGATTAAGATTGATTGTTGATTGTTGAACTTTTTTTTCCTTGATTGTTAGATTAACGATAAATAATAGACATTTTCTTTAACCATGATTAACTAATTATTAATGAACCTTTTTTTTAACTCTCAACAATTAAATCTGATTGAATCTATTGAATTGAATTGAATTGTTATATATTTTCAATTAAAGTCTATTGTTGAATGATTAAATTTGTGAAAGAAAATAAAACTTTCATTATATTAATTGTTGATCTTGTATTTACAATTAAATTGATCATGAATTTGTATAGATATTAATTGTTAATTGTTAAGACAGAAGATGGCAGTTTGTTAATTGTATAAATAACAATTTACTCTGATTAAGTTAATTGATTGAGAAAAGTAAATCAAATCTACTAGCAAAGTCGGTAAACTTTTGATTACTCAATTAATTAATTGTAATCACCATTGATTAATATTTGCTAATTTGTAACCACTTTAATTGGCAATGTGATTAACAGTGACAAAAAGTGATTGATTAATAATCCGATTTAATCAGTTGATTAACTTGATTATTTAAACAAATTTAGTTTTTATATGTTAACCGATTGAAATGAAAACACTTATCAGTTTATTAAACAAGAAAAAAAAGTTGATTATTTGATTTGTTTGTTTTTTGATTGATTGATTTAGTTAATTACCGTTAGATTTTTGTTTAATCATTTAAATTTCCAAATATTATTTACTAAATTGCAATAAATATTAACATGCAATGGGAATAGTTATCAAGGTGAGATGAACTGGAAGGAGGGAAAAGGTAGATGAAGAAGATGATTAAGATGATGAGTGGGAGGATGTTGTTGGTGGGTGGAAGATGATGATGAGGATGATGAAGAGCAGGAAATGGTGTTTTTTTTGTGCGAATTGATTTAATCTCGTTGATCCAGTTGCTGAATTCAATGAAGATCCAATGATGAATTGTGATAATCAACCTCTTTGGATTCGAGTCAATGGTTGGTGTTGGTTTTTAAATGTTTGTACCTTTGATGATTAGTTAATTGTTGTAGTTAAATTACATTGCATCTGATGATTCAGAGTTTCCAGTATCAGTTTGTTGTTGTTGAACAGCTGAAGGTGGTGGCGGTGGTGGGGCTTGTGGTACCTGTGCTGATGGATTAACGGTTAATCCTGAGGTAAAGGGTTGTTTGAGAAATGGATTAGTAAAGTATTGGGAATATAATCCAAGTAAATGTGATGCTGGAAATGGTGGCATGAAGCGATTGGCCATCGATCCGTTGGCCATTGAACCAGCGGCCGCGGCTGCTGCTGCTGCTGCAGCGGCTGCAGCTCGATGAGCATCAGCATTATTAGAAGCTGAATTCATTTGATTATTATTCAGATTATTATTACTATTGTTGTTGGTATTGGATGAGGTTGATGATGTTGGTGATTGTGAGGTTGGTGAGGGTGGTAAGGGAGGAGGTATCATTGATGAAAGTCCAGTTGCCGCTTGGTGTAAGACCGGGTTACCATGGTGTGCCTGGTGCGCTTGATGTGCTTGGTGAAGATGAAGGAATGGAAAATGACCTATGGAAACCTAGAAGGTCAAGCGGAGTTTGTAAGTATGGCATTGGACATGGTTGTTTGGTCATCATTGGCTTTGGTTTACGTCGAGGTTTATATTTGTAGTCGGGATATTGTTTCATGTGAAGGGCTCGAAGGTGTTTTGCCTCTTCGATAAATGGACGCTTCTCATTTTCACTTAGATGCTTCCATTTTGTACCTAAGCGTTTCGATATTTCCGAATTGTGCATCTTTGGATTTTCCAGAGCAATTCGACGCCGTTGAGCTCGAGACCAGACCATAAATGCGTTCATTGGACGCTTAACACGATCATACTCCTTCTTTGTGAACGAACTTGGTACCGATGAGTTTTCCGTTTGACTTGACATGGTAATTGAATTACTATTAACACTTGAATTGTTATTAACAAGTTCAGTTGAACTATTATTAGAATCATCGTCTTGATGATGATGATGATGGTTAATTGTTGTTATATTGCTTGGAGATGATTTCGCTGGATTATGATGAGAGTGATGATGTGAATTGCTGGAGTGATGATGATGATGTTGAGATTGATGATGGGATGAAGATGATGATGATGAGGAAGATGAGGATGCTGATGATGTTGGTGTTGTCGTTGGTGTTGGTGGCATAATGTTTAATGCTGCCGCAGCGGCAGCTGCAGCGGCTGCATGGTAAGCCGAAGCAGCGGCATGAGAGTGAAGGTGTGAATGATGTGATGTGGGGGAAGATGATGAGGTTGGTGCAAGGTGTAAATTGTTAAATGAACCGTGAGTTGTTGGTGTTACCACAGAGGAAACTAGTGAAGATGGTGAACCCACTGCCGAAGGTGACGAAACGCTGACAGGTTGACTGGCCCCACTTGCAGCGGCAGCGATGGTATAAAGGTTTGGAAATGCATGATGATGAGAGTGTAAACTTGGATAAAGTGAATGATGAGAGGCAAATGCTTTCTGCAAATCCGGAAGTGAATGATGTGCCCCAGGGTGATGATGATGATCCATTGGTGAATAAGTTGGAACACCGCTCATGGTGAATGGATTATATTCCCGTTCAACAGCGGCCATTATGCTCACAGAAAACGGAAAAGCCGTTGAGAGAAACAAATAATAATCAAAGTAATCAAATTAACTTGAGAAAAACCAAAATCCCAATCAAACTGACAAAGTTACAAAGATATTTTATCAAGTCAAACTACAGACAAGACAAAAGTAACAATTAAAATGATAAATTAACCAATTTAATATTGATAAATCACTACGAACACAATTTAATATTAACTAGAGGAACGAGAAAGTTTACTCAAAGAAAACAAAACAATTAGTTTAAATTTGAAATGTCCAAACGATGATGAATGAAACACAATCGGTGAACTTGATTAAGATGATGATGATTGTTGATGGTTTAAAATCAAATGATGATCACAAAAGTAGATGAATGAATTAGACAAAAAAAACACCAAATTCTTGTATTTTGTTATTACGATAAAAAAACAACAATAAACAAAATTTTTACGTTGAAAGTTACGAGTTGATTGTAGGCTGTAACCTTAATCATCGACTGTACCAATTGTTGTTTCAGTTGAAAGTCAGTTGAGTTGGAGTGGGTTTTGGGGTGGAAAGAGGAGGAACCAATGTACCCTCCTTATCCAATGGAAGGCAAGAGTGTGATGTAAATAGGTGGAGTTTCCAACCTTTCTATCATCATCACCATCATCATCATCATCTTCTTCTTCTTCTTCATCCACCTCCTTCTTATCATCTCTTTCTTTCATCAACAACAATAATAATAGTTTTTTTCTTTGCTTTTCTTACCTTTCCTTTCATCTTCATCTTCATCTCATTGATGATGATAAAATTATGATGATGATGATAATGATGAGTGAGCCTTTTTTACACACACACGTTGATATGGTCAATGATAATGGTTTGTTTGTTTACTCTGTGTGGTCAGTCACCATTTCTGACCATTCTCACTTTTCTTATAATAGCCTCAAGTGAATTAACCGGTAATTTATATTGGAAAAAATTATTTTTTTCATTTTTTTTCCTTCTCTTCTTCATGAGTTTCATCTTCATCTTTATCATGATAACTGTCAATGTTTACATCCTCATCTCTCTCTCTCTCTCTCTCTCTCTCTCTCTCTCTTTCAATGATGATGATGATCATTATTCATGGTGATCAGCATTCAATATTGACCAATTGGATATCATTATATTTTTATCTTATTATTATTGTAATACTATAAACTAAATTGTCCAAATCAAATCAACTTATCAAATGTAATTCAATGTAAAGCAATTTAATATCAACAAATAGTAATCAGGTAGATTTTTATAATCATAATAACAACTAAATTATATTGAATCACTTACAATTGTCCACAAGAATGATAATATACATAAAAAGTACGATGGATAGATAATCCAAAATTGTAACCACAATCAAGTTGATTAATTATTCAAAATTTAGGTCAACAAGTAATATCAGTTATCTGATTTCAATTCAGTGATTAGCTAATTATCATCATGTCAACACTAATTATTGGTTAGGTGATTCAACTAAAGTATTTGAATTGTACAAACAGATTTGAGATTAGCTGAGATTTGTTTTTATCCACCAGTGGGTTATGGTTATCATTTGGGATTCTGAGTAAATAAAAATGCTAAGGATCCACTTAATATAACAATGACAATAAGAATCCGCTATTATCAATGACAATGATGATGAGGATGATGAAGATGAGAGAGAGAGAGGATGAAGAGACACTGTCAAAGACACACAAAAGTGAAACCTTTAGGCCTCGTCTTATACCAACAATGGAAAGTTACAATTTAAAAGATCAGACTAACCAATTATTTCTGTATCATCATCATCATCATCATCCTTATCTCCATCCTCATCATTAAATATCTTGAAATCTTTGGAAACATTTCTCAACCAGGTAACATGACAATCTATTGATAATCAAACAATTTAACTTGAAATGGTTGATTAATGTTATCAAAACGATTTTGTCATTTTTTTCCAGTCTTACAATTAACTGATTATTGTAAATGTTTATGATAACAACAATCAATTGATTATGATACAGTGAAAAAAAAAGTTAATAACATAATGAATTTAAATGATCCACTCAGGATTGAATTGATTTGTGTATACAAATAAATATAACGGTTAAATTGATTAACTTAAATTGATTCGCACAAGTTTCATTCAAATTGATTATCAAAGTCACACTAATAATTTATTATATTAACACTTTGAAAATTAAATGAGACTATTAAACGTTATCATCCTTATCATCATGATCATTATCATCCTCATCCTTTTTATTATTGCAAATTGCCCATTTATCCGGTGGTTTTCATGCATTTACATTGATTGTTGTTCATTGATGATGATGATGATGATGATGATTATCATGATTATCATCATGAACCCTACAAAAAATGATTTGCATTTTTATCCCATTTATTTTGACACCAAGATAAATACTCACTCTGATTTTCAATTGAGTTCAATTTGTTATTATCATTATATTTTTTTCATACAAAAACTTTTTTTTATATTATTAATTCAATCAAGTGAATTGAATTGAAATCAAATCAACCCAACCAATTGATTTTGTATTTGAAAATCATTGAAAACGGTTAGATGATAATAATCATTTTAATTGTGTTCAATTTTCTGTATGCAAAGAAATCAATTTCATTGCAAATTGTTGATAATGTTTATTACAATTGGATTGTTATTGAAATTCAATTTATCATCATCACAATTTAATATTTAACAACAATTCAAGTGCAACATAATGATAACTTTAAACTGGAGCAAAGAAGCAAAAAAAAACTTTACTTAATTCATTTGATAATTACAATTCATTTGGTAATCAGCTAATCAGAGTTAAATCATTCAGATATCTTAATTGTAATCGTGATTGATAAATGATGATATTTGGTAAGATATGAGTACATATTGAGTCAATGTTAACAATGGTAACAATGAACAGTTATCATCAGTTATCATCATTAGTTTGAATTGTAACCAAGAATCAAAATAAATACTCACAATGACATAGACACACTCACACCAGTAATGGTCACAATTGATGGAGAGAGAGAGAGATGAAGATAATGATGATGAAGATAAAGTGAGATCCAGTGGTGTGTCTGACAAGTATTTATTTTATCTTCCATTTTTTTCTTCTCTTCTTTTCGAACTTAGAACTTCTCGAAATCACATCTTTTCCTTTTCCTCTTTTATCCAACATTACGATTATTTTCATTTCTCATTCATTTTTTTTCTTTCTTCATCTTTTTCTTTACTATCGAACAATAATTTTCTGTTTTCTTTTTATTCCATATTAGCAGAGAAAAGGTTTTATCATCTTCATTTCCATGGTACTGATGATGATGATGACGATGATACAATGTCCATCTCAAGTGTCCAATAACTGAATTATTTCCTGTTGAAAGTATCAACAACAATAAGGAAAGAACAAGGAAAAAAAAATAATGTCAACCTTTCAATTTCAACAGGAAGATGCTGCTGTTGGTGATGAGGATGAAGATGAAGATGATAAAAGTGATTGGTCATTTATGCATTTGGACACTTTTCATGTTGATGATGATTCTTAAAATGTTTTACCTTTAGGTGGTCGATTATCATTTTTGTCCTTTTTCAAAATGGACAACAATTTGTATCGACAATTACTTATCATTCATTAGCAATCAATGATGATGATAAGTGGTCACTCTTCAAGATTTACATCATTACCTAGTGATGGTCACTTTCTGATCTGTTCAATGCCTTTTCCTCCTCATGATATTAACAGAATTGATTTCAGAGGAAAATTTCAAATTATCTTCCATTCACTGACCATTATCATCATCATCATCATCATACACACTGAATCATATTAGTTGTTTATATTTTGACAACTCCAACTCACTTGGAACCGGAAATAGATTATTTTTTTTCTGCTCATATCATTGCTTTTTTGGCTCATCATTTTCAATTTTTATCTCATGAAAAATTGCTTCTCCTTCATCTTCATCATCTTCAAATGCCCCTTAGCATCTTGTTCCGGTCAATCATTTCCTAACTTTGTTTATATACATCAACTTATCCGGTTATCAACTAGAAACGACAAAAAGGAAGCGGTAAAAAAGTGTCGATCTGAGAGTGGGAGTGGGTGAGGGAGGAGAAGAGGAAACAACTCCATTGACATGATATCGAATTGGCTGAAAAAAAGTTCTAAATGCTCAAAGAAATTCATATTCATCTACAGGGTGGAAATTGAAATCACTTGTAGTTACCTATTTTCCTTATTGATTATATTTGATTGTATCTTGCAACTTTCATTTCCAATTGATTGTAATAATAGTTTCCATCTAATTGTAATCAATTAATTGACTTTTCCTTGATCAATTTAAGAGTTAATAAATTGTTCATTAATCTCATTCATTGCATTAATTGTAGTTAACTGATTAGTTGGTGTTGAATGTTAATAATAAATGATTACCACGGAAGTTAATTATCCTTTTAATGATTGTGATTGATGTTGATTATTTATTAGTTAGTTGCAATTAACTTTATGATTACTACTTTACTTTACTAAACAATTAACTAATTGTGTTAACTGTTAATTTCACTAGACTTTGATTCAATTTTTCAATGTTTCTCATGATAAATGTATTGATATTAATTCATATTTTTTTTGTTCTGATTTTTTTTTGATTATCAATTAATATTATGTGTTAATTAGGATTAATTGTGATTAAGGTAATTATTACCTTGCTATTGATAAGTTGATCTAAGTGTCTATTTCAATGGTTTGTTGTTTAATTGTTTACTTAATAACTTTGATTGATGATTAAATCAAGATTAAATTGTCGCTTCATAAAAGTAGAAACAAAATAATAACATTAATAAGCATCTGATGATTACCATTAATTGTTTGGCATTATAATTGTTATCAACGGTTAATTATGATTAACAAAGGTAATCAGAAAGGTTTCCCTCTTGAAATTAAGTTGATTGATTTTCAAAGTGATCACAATCAGTGTGTATAATTAAAGTTAATCACAAAGTTAATCAATTGTCGGTCTCACTTGAGGTTGGAGAGTAAAAAAATCTTATTGTTCAACAATCAAATTAATCAACAACAATTAAGTGATTATCAAACTTTAAGCTGAGATTATCAGTGTTTAGTTATCAACAATCAATTTCTAATTGTGATTAACTTAATTAGTGTTTCGTTTAGTTTTTTTACTATTACTATTTTTAATCAATCTTATTAATTAAATCAATCAATTTTATTTGATACGAAATGAAAACTAAATCAGTTAATGTTAATGTAACATTTAAATTTGAATAAAATTACAATTTAGATTTTGATTTTGATTATATTGTTGACAACAATTTACTGATTATCTTTATTGAAGGTATCATAAAGACATTTCAATTAACCTAATGGACAATACTAAAGTTAATCATGATAAATAATAACACAATTAACTTGATTTGTATAATCAAATTAGCCGATCATGATAATCAAAGGTTAGGTTTAATTTGTGATTTAATTGTTTATTACTTTTGGGTGCAGAAAAATAATAACTTGTAATTGTAATTGTAATTAAATCAAAACTAAACACAATCATAAACTTTTATCAAAACGTAAACACAATTAGTAAATTGTTTGGGTTAACAATATATTGTCAAATACTAAGGTTTAATTGTTGGTAATACAATAACAATTAAGTTTGAAGATAAAGGTAAATTATTGGTTCCCAAGAAAATGGTGAACCAAATTAACTGAGATTATTTGAAAATAAAAGTTAATTGTAATCAATCAAGTATCAAAATCTAGTAATATCTTAATCGTCAAATCTTAATCCAGTTCCCATGAAGATTAAGCTTAATCGTAACAATCAAAAGGCTCAAGTAAATTAAGTGATCATTATTGAGCAGAGATATAAAAAGTTACTAAATTTTTATAATCTGACAATTAATGATCACCGTTAATCTTGATTAGTTAAATTGTGTTATAATAATAATAATCAGAATCTATTTTATTCACGTGCCAAGACAATCAGTTAATTGTAATAGAAATGTTGACAATTAATCAAATGAACAACAATCAAATCCCAACCAATACAATTGATATTGAATCTAAAAGATTAACTTAATTTGAACAAATTAAACAAACACTCTGATTATGAACAGTTAGTTAATTGTGATCTAGAATTTTAATTAATACAAAAAAACACAACAAACTTTACTCGTTTAATTTAGTTTTTGATTTGTTGTTAAAAAGTTGATTAATTGTAATTAAAACCGTTTGATTTGCTTTCATCATTATCATTTAATTATCTCTTGATTTAGTTACCGTGATTCCGAGTAATTTAATTTTCTAATCATAAATGATTACAAATGTATATTCAACAATCAAAGGTTTTGATTGTTTACTGATCCATCTAAGAGATTTAATTTATTACCAGTCACAATTAACCTTAATTCAGTTGTGATCATGATTATTGTTAACAATCAGAGGAATAATAATTCACCACCTTTAGATTTGCTAATAATCAACAATATAAATCTAATGATAACAATCAAAAGATAATTAAACTACTGTAATCCTTTTCCTCCAATAATCAAGTAAATTAAATTTAATTCATTCACATAACATTTCACACACAATCAGTTAATTGAATCAACAATTGTAACAACAATAATTGCCTGTAAACAAACACGATGTTGTTGATCAAATGATTGATTGATTAAACAAATTGTCTAATCAAATAAATCTTAATTGTTATTCATATAATCAAATCCGATTAATAATCAAGTTGGAAAAATTTTCTTTCTTCCATTAACATATAATGTTATTAGAATCATCTTTTCATCCTCATCCTCATCTTCATTGAGAGAGAAAGGAAGATGAAGAAAAGGTGATGATGAGGAAGATAAATATCTCATGATGATAATCATCATCATCTCATCATCATCATCATCTGAAAGATAAAAGTTGTTGAAAGGAAAAAGCTTCAAGGTAAATTGTGATTTCTTTTCATTTTAAATGGAGTAAAATAAATGAGAAAAAAACAGAAAAAAAGTTAATCACGATTTAGATGATTAGTTAAACAACAATCAATTTAATCATATTTGTTTATTTCGTTACAAACAATCAACGGTTAACCAATCAATCAACGGTCAGTTTAATTTTGCTTTTCTGCTGGTCAATTATCATGTTTACCTCTCGCTATGATTATTATCATTTGATTAACGTTGAATTAACTTCTGGTTTAATTGTGTTGATTATTATTATCATTAAGAAGATGATTAGTGATTAACAGATTTTTACCTTCAATTGAATTAAAACCTCACACGAATTGATCATCATCATGATTTTCAAGACACTCTCTCAATATAATCTTTAATTAAATAATTAAAAAACTTTAACTAATTGATTTAATTCCAATTAACAGTAAACATATTAACTAAATTAACTTTAATCTGGTTTAACTTATCTTTCATTTTACTCTTTGGGCAACAATCAATTTTACCTTAATCATTAAAAATCCAACAATTTATTGATTAATTGAGTTTCTTTTTCTCAATCACCAACAATTAACCCGAAAAAAATGATTAAATATGATTGTAAACAAATATAATTAAAGTTAATCAATTGTTTCAACAATTTAGTTTATCGATTAATCTTATATAAGTGAACTAATTGATTAGGAGAAATTAAAATTTCCAAAAGCTTTAATTATTATCTTATATTCAGAATTTAATTTAATTTAAATTGATTGTTTCTTTCGCAATTTAAATTGTTCCCCAATTAGTTGATTGTTGGAATTAAATTAATTTGATTATTATCTTGATGATTATCTGCCATCTATTGACTTGGAAAAGTAATTCAGTTGATATTTAATTTGGAGAAAAATTTTTTCCTTCCTAATTGTAACTAAATTTAGTTAATTAATTGGTTGGATTGCAAAAGGAAAGTTAATTGTTGATAAGTATTCGGTGTAAATAAGGAAAAGTAATCAAATCAATTAACAGTTAATTTATCATGGAAAAGCTAATTATCTCTAATCAATTGATTGACACCACAATCTAATAACATAAAGATTAACTTTGTTTAACTGAATCTAAATTATGATTACTTGATTAACTGATAAATTAAAGATGAAAGAAGAAAAAAAAGTTAAATCATAAATCACAATTAAAAGAAACTAAAAATTTAATTATCATGTCAATCAATTGGCAATGGAAATCAATGATTAACAATTAACCAAAGTGATCAAGGATTAAATTGTAATCACCAAATATGGAGGATTATTTTTGAGATTAACTAAAAGTGAATTTAAATTGTGATTAAAGTGGTGAGATGATAATCAAGTTAATTATCTTTACCATAACATGACAATTAAATGAATGAAACAAAAAGTAATTATTATGACAATTAAATTGACTGGAAGCTCTTAAGAGGCTCATCACTTAAATGACAACAACGTTGATTAAGATACAACTTTCCGAATGAATTAGTTGATTAGTAATTAAATGATTCTCAACAAGAGAGTCGGCAAATTGTTATAATTAACTATTGATGATCGTTGATTAATCAAATAAATATCAACTCTCAATTGATGAAAGAGGAGGAAGAGGATCAACTTTTTTTTTCCATATCAAAAATTGATTAGCCAACATTAACTTGATTGTTGTGGCATTAGAATTGTCATTTTCACCTTAATTGTGGTTAATTTAAATTAAACCATTGAAATTCACCATTTACATAATAATAATTGTTGTTTAATTACATTGGTAACATTTGATAATAATTAGTACACGCAATTAGTTAACACTCTTGTTTTTGTTACAATTAAAGGTTGACATTTTGTTTTGTTTAAATTATGTTTTTTTTAAATCAGTTAATTGCAATTAATTTCGGCTTGCTTACATTTCTAATTAGTTTTTTGCTCTCAAGTTTAAGTATTAATTGTAACAAGTATTTTTTTTCACCTTTCCAACAGAGTTAATTGTAGTAATACAATTAAAGTGATTCCTTTTCTTTGAGGTGTAATTTTGGTGATGTTGTTTGTGGTAAACTGATTTGGCATTTAATTGTTGATCAGCTAATCGTTGACAAATCCTAATGTTTTAATCGTTGAGATTGATTTGCATTCATCTTTCGCTTCCTTGTAACATTTTTCTCTTAATCCGATAAATAAATAATAACAATAATCTAAGAGCTTAATCCAACTTTCATTTTGAACATGAATCTTTTTCCAAGTGCTGATTCCTTGATCCCAAACAAACACCAATTACAATTAGTTTCACAATTGAATAAACAATTAGCTCTCCTGATTAGTTGATATTGGTACCAGAAAATGGATGTAAATACAATCAGGGTGTCTCTTCATAAGTTATTATTATCCTTAAATCATGTAATTAGTGTAAAGCAAGAGAAATTTGCAATAATTGCAGATGAAAAATATTGATATTTCCAAAGGTAATCCATAGGTTTCCATTGGGTGAGAACATTGGGTTTTGATTAATCACAATTAACTTCTTTTGGTTTGATTATATCAATTAAAATCTAAATAGTAGCTTCTTTTTTTTTGGTGATTTTTTCGTCTTGTTTTGATTTTCCTTCATAAAAGGATCCTTATTGCTCCAAATTATTATCAGGTTATTATTGTTTTAATATATTAATCATATTATTAATTATGGGGTTTCTTTTGTTGTCTAATTGCTTTGCAGTTGCGTTTTGATGTCACCTTGTAGGTCAAATTGACTTAAAGGTAAAATTTTCGTGTATTTATATTTAGTTAATCTAATGGCTTTCGGTGTTGGTTCCTTATTCCAATTAAAGGGCTAAATTTTTAGTACTTTGTGTGTATGTCAAGTTGATAGGTGCTCTTGGCGGTGGGTAAAACACACAAGGTGTATATGGAAGGGTGGGTGATGGATTGAACCAAAATCAATGATAATTCTTGATTGTGACTTAGTATTGCCAATCAGTTATTGATCCTTTATGTTGATTGACTATTTATCGGATTCTTAATTTAGCAAAGGCTCTTTTTACACATTGATTTGTGATTTTTTATCTTTGACATCGAAATGATAACAGGAGATGTTCTGGTTTTGTGAATGGGAATCTCTCAAATTGGGCAACTGGGCAGTTCTTTTTAAGTGAAGATGAATTCGTGTGATGATGGTGATGATGAAGTTTGTGAAGATGAAACTATAATTATCTTTGTGAATATGATGAGATGATGACAAGAAGATGACGATACCAAGTTTAACAGGGAAATATGGAATTAAATGAGACTAGATAAGTCACCGAGTGGAAAAAGTTTATACACAATTAACAGAATGTCAAGATAATTTTTAAACACAATCAACATTTTGTGTTGATTACTGTAGATTAGGACTGAAAGCAAAAAAAAAGTTCATTGGCAACTAGAGATAGTAGTAGTTAATTGTAGTGGAATTGTTTAAATTGTCATCTCGATGATCTTGATTTTTGAAAATTTTTTGATATCTATTCAAATCAGTAGAATCGGGAAAGGTTAATTGGCGATAGAAGCGATTTAAGTAAATGGCTGATTATTAGTAATAAAGGAGTTTTTGTTTTACTAATTGTTGAAGGTATTCTAAAACTAATTTTGTTTTAAAAAGTGAATTGTAGAGAGAGGGAAAATTAACCATCAAGTCTCATCTATTTACCACAATTCTAATGAAGATGCGAAGTTTTTTTTCCAATTAAAACGATGTGGTCAATGATTAGGCTAAGGAAACACAAAGATTCACTAATTAAATCTTGCAAATAATGATGAGAGCACAATTTAAGAGCTAATTGAGATCAGCACTTTAAAAAATTAGTATTCAGAGTTGTCCATAGATAAGAGGAGTCGATATGAGATCCAGATAGATGTCCCAATGGAAAGAGGTAAGGATTTTAAAATAATTAGAGCTTTTAATTACTCAAAATGGCCAAGTAATATACTCGCAATTAATACTTGTTCCTCTTTTTTTGCTGTTTACTAGAGTAAATATTGTCCTCATCGTCGGGTATGTGCAGCTGATTGAAACATAATGTTAGTTGAAAGAGATGAAGAGAGGTGAAAATGGCGACAATGGAAATTAAGATGAACTCAGAATAATCAGCATGAAAGTCAAGGAATTGATGTTGATCGAAATTAGTGGCATCTTGAGAATCAAATGGAATGTAAATTTGTGTTTAGGTAAATATTGATTGACTATGAAGCTTAATTAGTTTCAATTTCTCCTTTCGTAAGGTGTAATTGGAGTTTGCAGTAGTTGAAAGTTCAACATTAGGATGAATACCCTTTCTTTTGTTTCTTTTAACGATTTATAAATTGCTGACTGATTACGTCAATTAAGGTTTAATAAGCAGGAGGCTGAAAGTTTCCACCACTGACCATACCACCTCCTCCACCACCATATTGATTATTCATACCCTGTTGTGAGTACATTCCCTGATCTTGATAATCAGTTGCATTTACATCGGTACCACTGGCATAAGCATAATAATCAGCACCAGGTCCACCAGGACCTCCAACACCAACACCTCCTCCCATGCTGGGATCATCTGGATAAGCTGAAGCAAAGGTTGACATGTCAGTACCCGATTTCCATCGTAACCATGCAAAATAAGCACAACCCGCCCAAACGAAAATGGAGAAAAATGAAAAGGCTAAAGCAGCACGAAGATTATTTATCCCGTAACCAAATTCAGGGTAAGGTGCTTTAGACCAGGATATGCCCAAAGTGGCAAAACAAAGGAAATAAAGTACTGTCCAAAGGCCAGAGAAACCGAGGTCAATGGCAACAACACGACGACGAATCTTAATACTAGAGATATTTTGAAAAAGGCCTTCGAGGACAAGTAAAACAATAGCTGCTAGTAAACCAACGATTCCTAAAAATTGTCCAAAACGACAAGCATTGGCACTTCCATTATAGAGACATTTGCCATGATGCCAACCTTTATTGTTAATACAACCGAAAACAATTACAGAGAAGAGCTGAAAAGAAAGAGAGAAAACAAAAAAATTAATAATGGAAATAACAAATAAATAAATAAAAAATGATCAAATTTAAATTCTAAGCGCGAATCGACTGGATGTGTTTCGACTTTCATTATATCGAGTAACTGGTTAAAGGATAAACATCTAATCTATTTAATTTATATATGGAGGTGATAATTTGTTCACAGTTTATCTGATTGCACTTTAGACTGTGTAAATTGGGAACAATTAATTTCAAAAATCAAGGATTAGACTCCAAATCAGTTCAACTAGAGACTCAAATCTATATAAGTCTCAGATTAACTAACGATGATGAGTTCTGGGTGTTTACCGGGTTGGGTAACAATTAATCACTATGGTGGTAAATATAGTTGAGTTTAGTGATTACGTCAAGAGTGATGATTAGTTGTATTCCTTATTAAATGTGATCATGATCATCACTGATTGAAACAATGGTAAATTGTGTACACGCAGGTAAAGAAACAAATAGAACACAGTTACTTTTTCTCGGCTTTTGAAATTAAGTTAATGATGACAATCGACTTGTTATTCTATTCACTCTGTTGATCTAAATTTCACCATAAACAATTGTGTAATCTAATTAACACAAATTAGAAAACCTTACCCAACAGAAAAATCGTAAAATAACTTGAGGTCTCATAATAAAACCAAGTGGATCAAATGGTTGACCTGCTTTACCAGCACCAAAAGAAACTCCACCATCCATTGGATCCATTTCGCAATTTGAAAGAGGTGAAATTAACAATCACCGAGATTTAAACACAAGAAGAAAACAAAAATATCGAGAGAGAGGAAAAAAAGTAACAATCCAATCAGGAAATACCTAAATAAGAAATCAAACAATTAATCAGGAAATTAAGAGAGAAAACCAGAAAAGAGAATAGAAGAAGAAAATGACAGAGAGAGAGAGAGAGAGAGAAAAGAACAAGAAAAAAACAAAAATGGAGAAAAAAAGAAAAACAAACAGAGACAAAAAACAAGAGAAGAGATAAGATTATCTCATTTTCTCTTAAAAATAATCACCTTGCAGATCCAATGCCAGAATTAATTACGGTCAATCGTTGGACAATTTAAATCCAATTTCGACAATTAAACTAAATCACCAATAAACATTTTCTTCAAACAATTAATATAACGGTGAAAACAGGTACGGAAAAGGTTAGTGGTAAGTGAGAGCAAACTCAAACCATCTCAGAGTCCAAGCACTAATCAGTTACTCTAATTGGACAATTTTCCACAATAACACGAGATGTCGCTCGTTCGAACATCACAATTTTCGGAATCGAATTTCTTTCCCCCTTATTTCTTCCCTTTTAATGCCCTTAATTCGAACCATTTACAAGAGTCTCCATCTTTTGATAGCGAATAAAATGTTCAGTCAAGTGATTCTATTCGATGCTTTTTTCATCTTCTTTACTCTCTCTCTCTCTCTCTCTCTCTCTCTTCATTCATCTCCTTTTCTCACATTAATCGATAAAACCATAGATTCTCACCAAAGCTTTTCTATTGATTCTCATTCATCGGGTTCATTGGATATTTTTTCTTCCAATAATTATGTTAATTGTTGTCCTTATTGTTACGCTTTTTTTTCCTTCTCTTCTCTAATTTTTAACCATAATTAGTTTACATTCATTCTGGTAAATTGTTCATTAACCAGAGTTTAATTATGTTTGTTGTTGTTTCTTTTTCTTTTTCACCACTAAATCACATTTCTCAATTTGTTCGCGTTTAATTGTTTACCATCCACAGTTGATTAGCTCCTTGATTATGAGTCCGTCTTATGGGTTGACAATATTTCAATAGACAAAGAAAACTATGGTAATTGAGATTCTACAATTTTTAACAATATAATCATTAAAATAACAAGTTAATTAGTTGATCTCTTTTTGTTTGAGCTTAGCAACAAAAAATTTTATTTAATCTTGTGATTGTTTTTTTCTTCTTGTTTTCGGGTTTGTTGTAAAGACGATTAGCTTTCAAATTTCATTGCAGTTTGTTTCATGTTAAAATCTCGGGTTAATTTAAGTTTTCATTCTCTGGTGTTTAGTGATATGATCTGGTCCATCTCTTTTACTTAAAACTTGACCACACATTGGACAAACCACAACATCCAATTCAGAATCTGTACTAATCTCCCAAACACCGGTTTTCATGGGAATATTTCCAATCCTTTGTTTAATGTTAGAATCATGAGCAGCCATTAGGTGTTTCTGTTTCCTTATATCGGGTAGAAGTACAATTAAATCCAATAAAACGTGATTCAATTTGTTACGAAACATTTCAACGCATTTGTTGTAATATTGATGTGGTGGAATATCATCTTTGAAAAATGCTCTCGATAGTAGGTCAAAATCTTTAAATCTATCTTTTAAAATGGATTGAACCATATCGAAGAGACGACGATTCCTTTCATCGAAATCTTTTGGATAAATATAAGAGTTTTCAGCTGATTCTTCAGGATAATGTTGTGTTGATCGATTGGTTCCATTTTGGTGTCTATTTGAATATTTTTCTATTGATGCTGTTGATTGTGATGGTAATTGAGACTGTTGAGGTAATGTTGAATTTACTGTTGATTTGGGTGACGATGATTGTTTGGCAGATTTTGAATTAATACGATCACTTGAAGGCGGCTGATCAAAATTTTCTCGTTTAACTTTACGTTGATTATTTGCTGATGATAATGATGATGATGTAGGTTTGTTACCAGATTTATTATCGCTAATAGAATTGCTTACGTTGCTATTATTTGATTCAATGTGATTATTACTGTTTACTTCAGATTTTTTACCACTTAGGATATTATTATTTGTTGAGTTGGTTGTTGTTGTTGTGGTTGTAGTGGTGGTTGTAGTTGTGGGATTTGTTGTAGTTATGGATGGGGTTACGGTCGTAATTTTTGGTTTGATCAATTGTTGAGCTACGGCTTCCATTGATAATTCACTAGATGCTGGTTTTTTGAGATTGCGTTTTTCATAACCGGGTGGAGGTCGAACAAGTGATGAGAGAGTCGGTTGTTTTGACTTTGTTGGACCAGATGATTTTGATTGACCTGATGGTTTGATGGTCGTTTTGTTTTTCTTGTTTGACTCTCCACTTAAAGGTGGAAAATTGTCTTCCTTGAGTAATAAACTTTCCATGTTTTCCTCTAAACTTGGTTTATTCTCATTTTCGCTCCGATTGCTTGTGCTCCCATTGTTTTCTTTAGGAATTAGTGTATCGACAAGTCGTACTGAAGTATAATTTGGAGGTGGATCGGGTTGAGGATTGTTCAAACTGGCTAATAGTATATTGAGTGATTTCTTTTTCTTTCGATTACCATTTACTTTAAAGGGTAAGGACGGAAAATCGTTTTGTGTCAAGGAAAAGTCTTGACTTGATGAAGGGTCACTGTGGTCAATTAATTCATTTGCTATACGATTAAGAGAGTTACTGGCGGTCACTTTACTTGTTTTACCACTATCAACGGATTGTGATGTTGTCTTTTCAGTAGCCTTTGGATTCAATTTTACAGCATCGGCTAATGAAATAGATTTAGCCGATGAGCTTGCAGAACTAGCTTGTTGAACTGAACGATTGCCGGAAGATCCTTTGACTTTTAGATCAGGAACACAAAGAGCTGGAAACTCTTCATCATCTTTTCTACCGAAAGTAGCACTTTCTTTTACTTTTGTACTAAACTTGTGTTTAGGTTTTTTAGAAGCTTTCGAGTCTTGGTTATTTGTGACACCATTGGTTACCACTTTGGCAACAGCAGCTTTGGAAGTTACAGAAAGCGGATTATCAGGTCGATCTAGTGGACTTTGTTTACTTGTTTCTCCAAGTGATGGGAAATCTTCTGGTCTAAGTTGAACAGGACGTTCAGGGCCTACAGCTCCAAGAATAGAAAGATCGTCTGTCATCCAAACATCTTCTGATATATTTGGAGGGTTACGATCATTACCTCTATCATTTCGATCTCCACGATCTCCACGATCTCCACGATCTCCACGATCTCCACGATCACCTCGATCTCCACCTCTACCTCTTCGACTGCCACCTCCTCTGGAATTGGACAGACCATCGTCATTAAGAGTAGCAACAACCTGTGAATTAAATCCACCAGCTCTCGGACCTCGAGGTGCAGTATTGAAGGTAAAGTCCAAATTCAAAGTTCGTGCATGTTTGGCTTCCGATTTGGTAAGACAATGACTTTGAGCTTTATGAGCTTGCAAATCGATTGCAGTTCGAAAAACAGAAGTAAATTGTTCATTCTTGCAAGGTCCTTCTTCACATAGATAATGTTTCTCACGGAAATGTTGATTCAAAGTCTCATATTTGTTGAAATAGATAACTTTACTAGTATCACAAAGATGACAAAAATAATGGTCTCGACGTAAATGACGATTTAGCTCCTCCGAGTCGACATAACGTTGATTACAAAGTTGACAGGCTGGATGTCCTTGATATGAACGATCATCTGGATCACCAATCTTCATATGAGCTTCCAATTGTCCAGCATTATAATATTTTCTTTCTTCACTGAAAATTTTCAAATTTTGAACACAAACTTCGCACGTTAATAATCTGTGTTTCTCCCATAAATGATCCTGTAATTCATTTACACTTTCTAAAGTTGTTTTACATTTTTTACATTTCTCTTCTAGAAGAGAATTAAATGTCTCGTAGCAGCTTTGAGTTTCGAAGTAAATTTTAAATTTATCATTGAAATAAAATCTCGATAAATCGAAGCCACTAAATTTTTTTCGAGAATCTTCGGTAAAAATAATCTATAAGATAAAAAGGAAAAGGAGAATCAACATTAAAAATGTGATGATGTAAACAAGGCCTAAAAAATACATGCATTTATCTTTCTTTCTCTTTCTTTCATCTCTTTCTATTTTTCTTTCTTTTTCTCTTCTCTTTCTCTCTCTCTCACTTAGATTTCAATCTTGTTCCAAAAGAGGATCACCAGAATAACTTACCTCAGAAACCTCTTGACGACAAATGGGACATTCATTTTGTTCACATAATACTCTCATTTTGGCTGAACAATGATAACAAATTGGATGATCACATGGACCGATTGCGAAAATTGCTCTTCTGTGTTCACCAGGAATCGAGTGGCAACAAACATCACAGGAAATACCAAACTTGTTCATAGGTGAATAGAAGGATGAAGAAGAAGAAGAAGATGAATTACCATATCGACCTCCAATTCTATTAATTTGACGTCCAGACATAATTAGTTAATATTCCAAATAGACTATTCACAGAGTAGAGAAAAAAGTAAATTTCAAATCAACGCAATTTAATTTAAAGAATAAGAAATAAAATAGAAAACAAAAGAAAACAAAATAAACAGAATTTATGTTTCATCAATGAGAATAAGTATCTAAATAAAAGAGAAAGAGAAAAATTCACAACTCATGTTCTCAGGGACGATTGAAGAATTTACATTCGGTTTGAAGAGAATAGAAAAAATTTGTTTTCTATTCGACCCCCGAAGTTGACTATTCTTTAACTTTGTGATTCAGCATCACGAACAATAAACTTTTCATTTTAATCAAATCAAATTGATATTTAATTTTAATTAGAATCTCAATCAGCAAAATGATTGAAAATCCAGAGTTTGGTTAATGAGAAGGCAGAAAATTTAAGAAAAATCAAATCATCGAAACGAAACAATATGACCCAAATGAACGAAAATGTTCAATTGTAACTAATCGAAAGATAATTGTTCATCTAATTACTAATATTTTGTTTCTAAATTTGAATTTGCTGATTTTTTGTTGTTCTTTCTCAGCTTTGAATGTGTCAATCAATCGATATTAAAGTTTGATCTCTCATTGATGGAAATGTAAACATGATTAAAGGCCAATAGTAAGATTAATGTTTGAATTATTATGGGAAATTGTTCCTTATTTGGTTGATAACTCTATTGGCTTGCATAACAATAGAAACAAATCAAATGATCGGTCATATTTGTTGTCAAAATTAAACAAAAAAAGACTTAAATTGTAACAATTAAAACGTCCCCAATTAACTAATTCAAGAAAGTGCTTTCAATCAATACTAAAAACCTTTGGACAAATTTTCTAACAGAGGCTTATGAGCTTTAAGCAGTAACCATTTGTGCCTCTTAACGACACCATTGATGTTTGACGCACACAATGTGCCACGTGTCACACGTGCCACAATACGCGTCTAAACGGTACTCGGATCCATGACAAATACAATACAATGTAATACGGAAACCACAACACCAGTAACAATTATCAGATGGAAAGTGATTCATTGAATATTAATTATTTCAAATTGATCTAAAGAAATGGAAAGAACCAAAAAGTTGGAATCTCATTAAGGAAACTAAAAATAATTGGTTTTAATTGAACGATCTCTTTCATCTTAATCCAAGCAGATTAACTTTATCCCTTTCATATTTTATTAATATCTGATTAGAATGGTGTTGAAAAGATGAGGGGGAAATTGCTGGAAAAATACAATCAAATTCATCGCTTGATTATTCAAACGTATTGACATGAGTTGATGCTATGAATGTTGTAACTTTTAATTACAAAAGTCTTTTAGTTAATCATTTACAATTTTCACTTGACTCTATCAACATTAAAAATCAGTTCAATTTATTAAATTTTCTTTCGATTGTGTGAATACTTTAATTACCAAATGATATCTGCTCGTTGGTCGTGTTGGAATCACACTCAACTTTTAATATCAAGTTTCCTTTGCCTTGGATTATTAATCATCAATGTCACAATCAACGATGGACTCTCAAGTTTGGTTGAGGCAAATTCTGATCTAATTGTCAGTGCTTCGGGTTGGGGACAATCAATGGTTCCCAGCAGTTCACCGACATGTCACTGTCCCCCAAGGCCAGTTAAATATGTCGCTATTGAGGTAAGAAGTATAAATTCAATTTGTCCAACCAAATTATATTGATTGATTTCCTTGCTAATCAACAGATACCAAAGATAATTAAAGTCCCAGCACCCGCTCCGCCTGCAATGATGATGCCTCCGATCTCAAGTCCCCCCAAACAAACAATAATCCCAATCACGATTCCACTATTAACTCATGTTCCCGCTTCGGCTCCAGCTCCAAGTCCAATGGTTCCTCCGTCTTCACTTCCTCCATCATCTGATACTTGGTCAATATCATCAAACCCTTGGAGTAATTAATCCCCATTCTCAACAGTAACAATTCAAATCATCGTATTGATTAATTTTTTAATTTCAGTCAATGTTTACCTCATTTAAAGTGTTTATTTATTACCCGACATTAATTAAATCAAGTTAAGAAAATCAATTTCCCTTACAAGTTGTGATTCACAGCAACTTTTAAAATACTTGATACAATTTTCAATAAGTGTATAATTTAAGTGATCAAATTTAAATAGTTATCAATTTATTTGTCTTTTTTTGGTACAAAGTGTAAGAGGATAAAAATGAGCTTTGCTTTTCCCTTGCATTGATAATAAATGTCAACTAATTTTGTAGAAAATGTGAATGGTTTAATTTTCTACTAGAAAAACATCAAGTGTGATACAGTTTCGTACAATTGATTATAAAAGAAAAGGTGAAAGTTAGTTGCAATTTCAGTTTCATGTGAGATTATTTTTCTGATTCTGATTTGTTTTCCAAAATTTTGTTTTGATCCAAGTGACCGAACTCCAGAGAAATCAAAAAAAGATTTGCGACCAATTCACCAGAAGCTAAATGGTTGGCTGAATGGCTTCTCTTGGTCTTCAGAATTGTTTGGATTCGATCAATTGGGCTACATCTTTCATCGACAATTTACTCGATTTGGTCTTTTTCCCATCTCGTTTGGCGAGGGAAGATGAAGGCTCAGGAGCACAAAGGGTTGGAAAATCTTCATCTTTTTTGTTACCGAAAGTGCCACTTTCTTTCACTTTTGTACTAAACTTTTGTTTAGGTTTTGCACAAGCTTTTAAGTCCTGACCATTGACTATCAATCTGACAACAGGTCGATCTTGTGGTCTTTGTTTACTTATTTCTCCAAGTGATGGAAAATCTTCTGGTCTAAGTTGAATAGGACCTACAGCTCCAAAATTTGAAAGATCGTCGGGAATCCAAAAATCATCTGTTATATTTGGAGGGTTACGATCATTACCTCTTTCACCATGATCACTTCGATTACCTTGATAATCATATTCACCATGATTATCATTTCCTCTGGAATCGGACAGATCATCGTCAGGATTAATTCGAGCGGGAACAATCGGTGAATAAAATCCACCAACTCTTGGACCTTGTAACTTTAATAATGTTCGTGCATATTTAACTTGCGATTTAGTGTGACAATGGCTTTGAACGTTATGAGCTCGATAATCCATTGCAGTTCGAAAAACGGAAGTAAATTGTTCATTCTTACAAGATCCTTCTTCACATAGATAATGTTTCTCACGAAAATGTTGATTCAGTGTCTCATATTTGTCGAAATAGATAACTTTACTAGTATCACAAAGATGACAAAAATAATGGTCTCGACGTAAATGACGATTTAGCTCCTCTGGGTCGACACAACGTTCATCGCAAAGTTGACAAGATGGATGTCCTTGGAATGATTGATCATCAGGATCACCAATCTTCATATGAGCTTCCAATTGTCCAGCATTATAATATTTTCTTTCTTCACTGAATATTTTCAAGTTTTGATCACAAACTTCGCACGTTGATAATCTGTGTTTGTGCCATAGATGAGTCTTTAATTCATTTACACTGTCGAAAGTTGCTTTACACCTTTTACATTTTTCTTCAAGTAGAGAATTAAATGTATCAAAGCAGCTTTGAGTTTCGAAGTAAATTTTGGATTTATCATCGAAATAGAATTTCGATAAATTAAAGTCAGTAAACTTTTTTGTTGAATCTTCGGTAAAAATAATCTGTAAGATAAAATAAAAAGATAAGTATATTAGAGATAATGTTTTCTATTTTTTTAACAATCTAAAAGAGAGAGAGAGAGAGAGAGAGAGAGATAAACGCTAAAATGATTAATACATTAATCTTTTTATCCATTTTTAAATTTTAATCTCGTTCCTAAAGAGAAACAAATAAAACATATAAACAACTTACCTCGGAAACTTCTTGACGACATATTGAACATTCATTTTGTTCATATAATACTGCATTTTGGTTGAACAATGATAACAAATTGGATGATCACATGGACCGATTGCGAAAATTGCTCTTCTGTGTTCACCAGGAATCGAGTGGCAACAAACATCACAGGAAATACCAAACTTGTTCATAGGTGAATAGAAGGATGAAGATGAAGAAGAAGAAGAAGATGAATTACCATATCGACCTCCAATTCTATTAATTTGACGTTCAGACATAATTAGTTAATATTCCAAATAGACTATTCACAGAGTAGAGGAAAAGCAAAGTTCAAATTAACTTAGTTTAATTTAAAGAATAAGAAAAAGAAAAGGAAACGATAAGAAATTGATGTATCGTCGATGAGAATTTGTGAATGAATGAAAAAGAAAGAAAAATTTTCTCGATTTATATTCTCGTTGTGAGGGACCATTGAAGAATTTACATTGGGTTTAAAAAGATTAGAAAAAAAAATTTTCTGTTCGAATCCCGATGTTTACACTTTTCTTTTCATCAAGTTGTTGTTAATTATTCTCAACCAATTAAAAAGATTAAAGATTCTAAATTTGCTTGACCACAAAAAGAAAAGAAGAAGAAAATTTAAAGAGTAAAATTATCGAAAAGAAACAAAAAGATCCAAGCGAATGTTCAATTGCGACAACTTATTAATTCTCCAACGATTATCAAACTTGATTCTCTGATAAATAGATCGAAAGACCTTCGATTGCTACATTAGAATATCTGATCAATTTCGACGATTCCTTCTCAGACTCATGATGTTGAAGTTCTCAATAGAATGGCACTTGGATTGAATCGAAATCAAAAATAGAGTATTTCTCGATTGAAGAAAACGAACTTTCATCACATTTATGATAATTGCGAATATGGAACTTTATTTCTAAATCGATTTTCGCTTTAAAATTAATCATCGGAAAACGAAGGTTCGAAGTCTCGAATCATTGATCTCGATTGGTGTACGAGTAAAACCATTAGGGTTTCTTCAATTGGTTTCTCTTTACCATAATTTCCTAATCATCTGTTGATTATCATTATCATTAAATTGTCCAGAGAGATTCGAAAGAAAAACATTTAATCAAAAATTATTTCAAATCTTTATTTTTAGTTAATCATTTGAATCGAATTACAAGTAATAAAATTAATATCATTCGAATGTTGGTTTTGTTTAGTGGTTACACTTGTAACTGATTAATCAATGATTAAGTAATTAAGGTTGAAAATTGTTGAGTCTAATTGTTGTAGTAAATGTTATGGTTTTGTCTGAGTTTTAAATCAACAACCAACAGTAAAAGTGGTTTAAAAGGAGGATGAATTTTGCTTTTGTTTGGTTTTGATTTGGAGAATGAGCTTTGAAGCCTCAGAATTGGTGAATTGGTAGAGATGCGATGAGAAGTGTGAACATTGGTTTCCAAATAATATTAAGATTTTATAATGTAATTTATGTATAATTATATTCACGTGGCGCGAAGCTGTTGATTGTTTTTCTCCATGTTTAATGGCTAAAAAATTAATTGATTTTCTTTAGAAAAAGTTGTTGTTTGTGTCTTCCAATATTTTACTTTTCTTTTTTTTGTCTTTTCTTTGAAATTCTATCAATTGATGATGATACTTCCTTTCTCTTCCACCATTTCATCCAAACTTGATCTTAAAGCTTCAGGTAGTGATGATCTCGCTTTCTCATAAGCATCTCGATCAATTTGTACTAAATCATTTCGATCCAATCCAAGTGCCATTCCCATTCTTTTGAGAACTTCAACATCATCATGAATTTCGAAGGCATTGTCGAAATTGAACAGATATTCTGTCTTGTCGTTACTAATCGAACAATCAATGATCGTGCGTTTATCGGTATTTACAATGATAAAAGGAAGGTGAATTTTAGCGTTCGAAGAGACAACGGGATCAGTTTTGTTTCTTTCGATTAGTTTTCGAAGAGCGATGTGTTGGATAAGCAAATCTCTTAATTGCTCTTTCTTGGCACTAATTTTCTCTAATCTTTCTTGTTTTTCTTTTTCCAATTCGACAACTTCTTGAGAAGCATTGGTTGGTAGACCAATCCATTTAATCTCCTTCTTTTCTTTACTAATAATATTCATTGCCATAAGAACATTGAGCGCATCGTAAACCCGACGACGAATATTTTTTTGGTCAAAAGGCTCAGCATCATTACCTGAGTATCTTCCCGAAAAAGCAGCTCTACTAGCGATAGGGTCGGCGGAAAATTCCGCAACCAGCTCATCGGCAACTTCATTGTAAGTTGTTGTTCCTTTGTCTTTAACCTTTTGACAAACCTGTGGGTAGATAAAATAAAGAACAATATATAATTTAGATTTAAGGACATGAACTAAAATGCAAATTTCTGTTCAAATGTATGAGAGCCTTAGACTATGATGAACAAGCGAATGAAATGAAATGAAAACAAAAGTATAGAGGAAGTGGTGGGAATAGAAAAGCGCTTATACCTTCATAGAGAAATGTCTCAATCCTTTACCACTCTTGGCATCTTGTTTTCTCCTTTTAACTGGAGGTTGACTGTCTTCATTTTCTATTGATCCAAGTGACCGAGCTCCAGAGAAATCAAAAAAAGATTCGTCACCTGTTTTAACAGCGACCAATTCACCAGAAGCTAAATGGTTGGCTGAATGGCTTCCCTTGGTCTTCAAAATTGATGGACCAGCACTCATAGTTTTAAGAAGAGCCTAGAAGAGTATGTGAAAGAGATAGAGACGGAGAGAGAGAGAGAAAACAGGAAGATGGTGTTTTAAAAGACAATGGATAAGGTGGTAATGCGATTAAGACACAGGAAAGGAGAAGGAGAAGGAGAAATAAAGTGTGTGAGAGAGATAGAGAGAGTAGAATAAAAGTAACAGAAAATAGAGAAGAAATTAAAATAAGTAGGTAATGAGTGTTGGAGATGAAGAGAATTGGCTAATGTGAGGCACACCACTGATTCTTTAAAATAAGAGCCACAAGCGATAGCAATTAGATAGAGATTAGCACTGATAAAGTAACCAAAAATCCTAAGCATTCACGGAAAGAAGAGTGAGTAAGTGAGAGAAAGAGAGATTAAAGAGAAAGCGAAATAGAAAAAAAAGAAAGAGAAGAATGAAGATGAAGAAAGGAATACCCAAAGAACCAAACAGTAAAGAGTCAGAACAACAAAAAACTGCAGAGTAAAATCTTTTTCTGGTGTCGATAGATAGCGACACCGAATAATGCTAATTAAGAATAAAAACAAATCAATAATCACAATGGTTGTACATTTTGTGTTAATTATTCTTCAAAAAGAAACTTGAGGCCTGAAACTGGTAAGCGAACAAGATACAAAAAGATGACAGGAAAAAGAGAAACAGAAAATTGAATAAGCAAAGAAGGAGAAGGAAAAAATGAAGAGAATAGAAAAAAAACCAAACCAAAGTGAACGAAAACACCAACAAACCTTTTCCCTGAAGGACAAAAGTGGATCAATAAACTCGAGACAATCAAAGGTAATTCACAAAAATATCAAACCAAAAATTAAAACAATTAAATTTAATCAAACAGCAAACAAGCAGAAATTAAATTGTCAAAGAACAACAAAAAACTGACCGCGAACGGAACCAGGGACCGTTGATATATTATCGACTTTTGATCATTTTCTCGATTTTTTTTCTTCCAAAATTCTGGTTCAATTTCTGGTTAATTTTCGGGTTCTTGGAAAATAATTCGATTGTTAAAACTAATCAATCCCATCGCTTGGACCTTTTTTTCTTCTTTTCCATTTTAATTTTGTTGGTTTGTGTTTTTTTCTACTGTTTCCTGGTCCATTCAATTACGGAATCATTTCAATTGATTGTTGGTTTTTTTTTTCTTGATCGAATTGAACTAATCAACTAATCAAGTAGCTTCTCAACTTGTTCGTAGTTATTTTTATTACCATTTTTGTCTTCTTTCTCTCCATTAGTTTGATTGTTTGACGATTGTTATGATTTGCTGATTAATTGATTCGCTACTTGGAAAAGTTAATGATTAGTTGATTGATTTGTGTATTCATGAAAACTAAGGACAAGAAATTAAGATTTGATGGATTAACTCATTGATAGAATCAGATTAGTTTCAAGATTTTCTGATTCTCTTATTGATTTCATTAGAGTCAGTTTTGCAATTTGATCGTTTTCACAGTTAAAATAAAAGATTTAACTTAAACTTGTTACAGTCAAATCACTTCGAGTGAATCACAATCTCAATTGTAAAGAACTACATCTCATTTGGTATGAGCGATAATCTCTTTAGGTTTTTATGTTAATCTGGTCAACGCAAATCGGATGAACGTTCAATAGACATTAGTATGTAGAACATCCTATGGCTAAAATACTCGAAACCAGTTTAAAGTGTGCGATCAGTCCTAAAGAATACAATTTACCTTTAGGTATTCACTCGAAATGCGATTTCATTTTGAGCAAGTGAGATTTCGTTCATTCGATTTGAGCTCAGGGATTAAATGAGTTTAGCTTAAAGGGTTTACGTTCACTCGAAATGAGATCTCATTCTCTATAAATGATTTTGTGTTTCACTTGAAGTGATTTGACTGTAATTGTTTTGATATTTACTGCAAGTGGAAAAAGATGAATTGCTTAAATTGCTTTTGCTGGATTAAAAGTCGCAATTAACTTAAACTCATTTTAAATTGTTGGCGATTAAATATTACATCTGTGGTAAAGAAGTTAATTGATTTTATCTTGTTAAATTAAAGTTCTTAGAGTAACTTAGCTTAGTTTTTTGCTTTTGAAAGCAATTTGAGTTTTTCTTTGTTTCAATTTGTTGATTTTTGGACAATTTTAATGATTTGTTGATGATATTTTACAGAATCTCTTAAATGTATCATCTTTTTCATAATAGATTTTTGTTGTCAAACATATTTGGGTCTTAGGAATAAGTAAATAATGGGTATATATAATATATATGTAAAATTATAATGATCAATTTGATGATAAAGGATACAGTCTTTTTCCTCCGAATTCACCTTCTTTCTCTTTATAAATAAACCATTTTTCATTAGAATTAATTTGTCTTCAGGGCTGAAGAGGTTTAATCTCTGTTTTTCTCACTAGAATTGACCCTTTTCTCTTTCTAAATAAACTTTTTTTCAAAGGAATTGATCTGTACCAATTCAATCTCATAAGTTGTAGATAATTTTCAATTCTAATTGTTTATCAAAACACCAGAAAGAAAATTAATCATCGAAGGTTTTGAAGAAAATTATCGAAGTTGTAGAATTCGCTTCAGAAATGATTATATCGAAAGATAGTGAAAATCAGTACAATCACATGAAGAGATATATTCCTGATTGTATTAGTAAAAACATATTGATAATTAATTCGAATGAAAAAAAGTTTAATTATAATGAGAAAAAATGAATTGTTTTGAAAATAAAGAGATTAACTCTGATTCTCTGACCAGATTAAGTTTTTTTCTTCTGTAAAATAGTTTAACTCTAAAGAGAAAGAAGGTGAATCCGAAGGAAAAAGACTGTAATGATGTATACTGGATTTGAGAATGCAGATTAATTATTGGTTAATTTGATTCGCCCAGAAACCAAATAATTCGGGCTGTTAAAGGATTTTTAATAATTGGATATTGGTAAAAGACTAATCATTAGAGAAATTGTTAATCGCTCTATTAAAATGCAACGGTCGTGGTCAAGTAATTAATTTGTAATATCTTTTGTTGAATGTGAGTCCAGTTAAAGTCTTTTTTTTTCTGTGTGATGAAAGGTTTTTCAGGTGACGAAAAAAGGAAAAATTAAAGTCCAATTGTAAGATTGATGATTTGGTGTAACTGTGAAGATGATGTTCATGATGATGGGAACTTTATTGTCAAGATTGGTCAAGAACGAAAAAAAAATAAGATGAGTCGATGAGGAATTAAAGATGATTTCGATTTTTGTAGATAACTAAATATATATGAATGGTGTCGATGTTAATTAATGTGCGTTTAAATTGATCTTGGCTTGGGATGTCTAGTGTAGTCTTGATTGTTGATGATTAAAATTTTCGATGACTAGCTGCTGAATTGGAAAGGGCCAATGTTTTATCAAAATCTATTGTAGCATAAGATTGTGGAGGATAATTGCTACTTATTGATTTAATTGATGTAGGCGTTGATGGTGGTGTTGTTCCAGGTAAAATAAATGCACCTTCTTCGGGTGTTTTAAAAATAGGTGTTGCTGGGCCTGTTGTTACATAGGTTGGACCATTATTGTTGTTTGTATTGGTATTTTCAAGATCCAAGATGATGTAGTTAACAGGTTCAACCATTTCATTTAATTCTAATGATTCACTAATACCACTTTCAGATTTTCTAGGTACTTTTGGACTGATTAATGAATCTGGTTGTTGAGAGTGACTAGATGATGAACCTTGGATGGCTGTAGATGATACAGTTGATGAAGATGATGGTGGGCATGATGATGCAGCTAATGCAGATAAAGGTTTAATTGGTAAAATGGGTGGTTTAATGTTTGTTGAACAATTGGAGTCTCCATTGGCGGTGGTATTGGTGGTGGAATTAATATTAACGGTGGTACTTGTGGTAGTGGTAGTAGATGAAAAATTGGACAATTTAATTTCTTCACAAATCAAAGAAGTTCTTTGTTTTGAAGATGAACACTCAGTTGTCTCAAAGTTAGTTAATGGGTTAGTAGTGAAAGATGCTAGCAGATTTGAGGAAACACAATTAGCTGGTGTAGTAACTGCTGCGTGATCTGATGATGATGAAGTGCCGGTTTGATATTGAGCAACGGCAGTATCAATATTTACATAATCGACAAGATCATCTAACTTAGCGTAATTTGTGTTTATATCACTGGCACTTCGTGCTGATCCGGCTCGTCCTTTTGATATGTTAACATGTGAAGATGATGAGACCGGTAGACCAATAATGGTTCCATTTAAAACTGCTGTGTTTGCATAGAAAGGTGAGTTTATGTAACTTCTTATATCGTTAACATAAGAATGAGGAGGTGAACTGGGTAAGAGAGGTGGAGGCGGAACTGGGACTGGAGCACGAGCAGCTAATTCTGGTGGACCAGGAGTAGTTGGAATAACTGGTGATGAAATGGTCGCACCAGGACTAATAGTAACTGTACTGGTACCATTGTTTTCTTGATTTATCGCATGTTGAGGTGAAGTGATATGGTTATTTGGTGTGATTATATTACTACAGTGTTGTAACGATTCTTGAAGAACATTGAATAACTGCTCTGCATGAACACATTTGAAGGCATAAATACCTAAACAGAGAAGAGAAAAGTAAAAAAAAAAATGATAAGAGAATAAGAGAAAAAAAAACTTTAGCATACATAGAGAAGAAAGAAATGTCATGAAATAATCTGAGAGATAATTATTTATATCATAAATGCGTCTGGCATTTATAACCTAAACCTTGAGTTAATCAGAATGAGCAACAATGAGAATGATCAATAATTACCTGGTCCAGTTGAACATCGACGTCCACATTCAAAGCTAAATAATTCAGCATCAAATCCATAACGACGAAGAGACCTGGAAGATGGAAATAGAAATGCAACAAGAAAAAAAAGGTAAATAAAAGTTGATGGTAACAAAAAAAAGGGGAAACTAAATCAAGAGACAAATCAGCTAATATTTTGAATCAATGACAAAACAATAACAAATGATTGAGCATAGTAACAAGCATCAGGAATAGAGGAATAAATAATATAATAACATCAATGCCATCATCATATTGATGATGATATTACCATTAACATTTACAGAGATAAAGCAAAAAAAAGAAGAGGAAAAATTGGAGACAAGAAGATGATGAAGAGAAAAAAGAAGAGTAGAAAGAGGAAGAGAAAAAACTAACTAAAGGAAAATACAAAATTGATACGAAAATAAGAAGAGAATAAAAAAAAATGATCATCATAATACCTTAGAGGCCAAACAATAGAATTTTTGTTTCGTTGATGTAAAATGAGATCATTTTCGGTTATCTCAATTTGACCATGATTTATCTCATTACCACGATCATCTACATTAATCACATCAAATATTTTCGATCCTCCATTAGTAACACCATTAACACCTCCACCAATATTGGAAAGTGTACCAGTACCATTAGAGTTACCATCATCGGATCGTTTGAACAAAGGTCTTTGTGGTGTCGAGTATACACATCCCATATCAACGGTTAACACCAAGAATAATAGTAACAATAGTAATAGTGTATAGTGAATATCATTCACACACTAGCTCACAAACAAGAAGAAGAAAAAAAAAGACACACAGACTATTGACTGAGGTCAAACACGAAGATGAAAAGAGAAGAGAAAAACAAAAATTACCAAAGCTTATCTATAATCAACAATAAATGTAATTCTCTGAATAAAATATAATAGATAAAGAGAAAATATTGAATCTTAAATCCACTAAATTCTTGGCACTGGATTAAAAGTGAAAAACTAATCACAAAATGGAAACAATTAGATGAATAATCAACAATCAACAATAATTAAAACATCAACTTGATTTGATTAAAAAGAATAATAAACATCGGGGGTCGAATAGAAAACAAATTTTTTTCTATTCTCTTTAAACCGAATGTAAATTCTTCAATTGTCCCTGAGAACATGAGACTCAAGTTGAGAGAATTTTTTTCTCTTTCATTTATTCACATAATCTTACGCCTTACCCATAATTTACATACGATCTTACTCAATTTTATAGATTTTACCTGTTTTCTTTGTATTTTATTCCTAACAAAATGTCAACAGTGAAATTTATTAAATCCAATAATAAAGTGAAAGCTCCGCAAGTTGAAAACACCAACACTCTAATAGTTAGAATTATGGAACCTGCTAATGGTGAATTACTCGATGGTTGTCAAGCAAAACAAAAAGTAAACTCTATACTATACAAATATCGAGACCAAATTGAAATATTGAAAGGTTTTAAATGTGCCAGGATTAACTGCTCAGACAACAAACTTGTGGAGATTCTGTTTGCCGAGGTCAAGAAGATGGACAATTGGCAGGTAACCATACCAGAGAAAAGACCCCCTAGGATTAAGATCATTGTGGAAACGACAATCAAAGTGGACAAATACTTACCTGAGAAGCTCAAAGAAGACAATCCTTGGTTTACAAAGGAAAGCAACATTGAAATGGTTTATTACGCCAATAAAGTTAAGATAGTCATTCTTACAATCGACGGGGAAACAAGAGATGCTCTGAATACACATACACTTAAAATCAACGATAAAATTATTCCCTTTTATGATTACTTTCACATTAAATTTTGTGAGAGATGCTCTTGTTATGGTCATAAAAGGTCTGATTGTCGAAATGCTGTTAAATGTCTTAATTGCTCCAAGCAGCACTATCATGAAACCTGCCATACAAACAATGACTCCATTCTATGGAGATGTGGTAGTTGTAATCTCTTTGGACATACCGCCTTCTCCTTTTTCTGTAAAAACTTTCAACAAAGATTGATTGATCAACTCAGAAGGATAAATTACACTTATGAATGGATTGTAATTGAACAGCGTCAAATGAAATAAAAAGAGAATCCTTTTGGAGAAACTATCATTGACAAAACTTACCTTGACAAACTAACATTAACTAATAGAACATACAGTACATTGTGCTAACCAATCTTCATTCTCTATAACCCTTATACCCTGCCCTTTATTAAGTAATCCTACAACTCTCATTCAATATTTTGTAACAGTGAACATGCCACCTGCGAGGAAAAAAGCAACCAAACCTTTGAACAATGGAGAAAGTGATTCGGAGACTGAGACTGATATTGCAACCATATTGAAATTCATGACCGAGGCAAAGAACAATCTAAATGGTAAAACCCTGAGCGACTTTGTCCTGGATAATCTGTCGGAAGATGATCAAATATCGTTTCAAATAGCAATCGAAGGTGTCAAGGATCACCCACAACAGATTGAGTTGGAGTTGATGAAATCGATACTGGCCAACAAGTTAAAAAGGAAAAATAGTGTAAAGAAACAAATTATCGACAAACCCGAGAGAAATGAGGAAAATCACATCAAGTTCGATAAGTTGTGGAGAAAACCTGACAACTGGATTTCCGTGGAAGAAATAGAAATTAATCCTATTCTATTGGTCCAATCACGACAGGATGAAAAGGATGAATCAGGTTATATCACTAAAATACACCTTCAAAGACTATTTGATTCAATTGATGAAAATATGATGGATATTATTAACATGGAAGCAGGAAAAAAATACTGTAAAATATCCTTATACAACATAAAAAGCAGAGACGAATTGATGGTGAAACTTAGAGACCAAGAGGGTCGAATAAAATTTATCCCAACTTTACCTGAACTAGATGAACCAAAGATACAAATTGAAATGACTATGGAAAACTCCGACAACAGTGAAAACGACTGGAAAATGTGGACGGCCAAATTAAAAAAATGGAATGGCTGGAAGGACGAATCAAAGGTATCCATAATCAAAACTGAAAAGAGAGGCAAATGGGTCAAGGTAATCCTCCAAGTAGACTCGCAAATTCGTTCGTCGTTGGACAATCATCGAAACAGAGGGCAAATAAGCGTGGGGTGGAGAAGAGTGGCCATTGTCGATCATCTCGGCATCACCCTCTGCTTTAACTGCAATCGCTATGGTCACCGATCCTCCAACTGTATATTCACTATCACTTGTGGTCATTGCGCTTTGCCACACTCGAGTAAAGTTTGCCCAAAAAGGAATGACCCTACAGCCTTAAGATGCTCGCCATGTAATGGAAAACCTGGACATGACACATTTGATCGAAAATGTCCAACTTTCCTAAAACAGATACAATTAGCGTTATCCAGAATCAATCACATGTACTCCTTTATAATTGTCAAACCAGAAAATGATTCAAATTTACCTCTTTGAACTTCTGATGTACATCACTTGGGCCCATATGGCACTTTGAAAAATTACAATTAAAAACAATCATCAACAAAAACAACATATTTATTGAGTTATTTTTTAACAATTGCCTTTAATTACTATTAATTTACTTGTTTATATTTTTCTTTAATTCAATTTTCCTTTGAAATGTATTCCTTTCTCGCACCAATTAGAGAGCATCAACGAGAAAACATAACCGAGGAGGAGTATCAACTAAGAAGGATGAGATTCAACATTGGGCCTTTGGATAATAATGAAATTACCATATTTACAAATGACAGGAGTAACATAGGACCCAAAAGGACGGATGAAGCGGTACTGGTACTAATCATGGAAACAACCACCTTTACACATTGGTACACGTCGACTAACACTCTGAAGATAAGTAATCCAAGGTTTGCTGACTGGATAAGAGCCTGTCGTGTGACAGAGAAAAGTGACCACAAGATAATGGAGATTCTGATTGGTATCAAAGGAAGAAATCTAATGGTAAAAGAGAATGGACTAAGAATTGCTTATCGCCTTCAGCGCTACTTAGCTTTTGATAGAATACCGGACGACACAGTGAATAAGATTGTCAACTCAAACATTAACCAGCGTATTAAAATACTGAAAGAGATTAAAACGATGATGAATCTTGATGAATCAATTTTCATCAAAGTTGAAAATCTAGACTCAAATGTTGATCTCAACGGTACTTCTATTGATGATCTGAAAATTGGGTCAAATGAAAATGCGAAAAGGCTTTCCTTCCGGATCTAAGTACCTTAAATTAACCGCCTGGCACCCCAAATCAAATTCAACTAATTGGTTGCCATGGTCACTACTTTTGAAAAGGAAATCAATTTTCATCTTCAATTCGTATATACAAAAACAACAACATCTTCTATCTATTTTCTCCCCTAATCTACTAATTTAATCAATTTCATTCATTTACACTGTTCCCGCATCCAGTAATACAATTACCCTAGAGTTTAAAATGTGTCTTGGTAATCACTTGGTTAGGACAAACAACAGAACGCTTGGTGTCAATGAGTCTTATCCAACTGGAGTGTTTGGAAAGCGATTGGTATGCGAAGTAGTTAATTTTGTGCAAACAACAAAATTTGAAATAACCTTCTCACCTGGACATCAGGAGATTGTGACAATAGTTAAAGGGGTGTTAGAGAACGACCCTGTTTTCCACGACATCATAACTGAGCAAATCTCTGTACGACAAAACTGCATCAAATTTACTGCTCTAATGAACAATGTGATTCGTCTTAAAAACTATCTTGAAAATAAGAGATGGTGGAGAAGACAAATCATGCGACTTACGCTGGACGACACCAGATTACCGTCATTTTGTATCTACATAGCAGTTCCGGATATCGTACCAGATGAACAAGTCGCTCGGGCTATAAGAAACAATAGTCAGAATATATCAATAGATGAGGTTATATCGATGCAAAGAACAAGGGACAATCTTCTTCGTGTTATTTTCAGAGCTGACAGAGATCAAATCAAATATCATGGTTGGCAACTTCTAGTTAATGGAAGCAACTTGTATGTATCGGATTACATTGGTCTTGAGCAATGCCCATATTGTTGCCTATGGTACAGAGACGAAGAGCTATGTCAATGTCAACCAGTTAGGAAATGCTCGATTTGTGGCCTTGATTATCATCACGCTGAAAACGAACCAAATAACTGCGACAATGATAACGGCTGCATCAATTGTAAACATGCAATTAATCTTTATGGCCTAAACATCAACACTGCCCATCCAACAAATCACTCAATCTGTGTAGTCCTGGAAAAAGCAATTAACTTTAACTTAAGCCGAATCGCCTTCAAATACGAATCGATAATGCTCTCAGTTTTCTCTCCGATAATTGAATAACTAAAATGGAACCAATTAACAGTTCAACAGAAGGTTCCAGGAAATAACTACCATTTACTTAACGACACAACTTAATCACTAACCTTTGAAACCATTTCCTCTATTTTACTAATTAAACTTAAAATAACAAAACAATAAAGAACAAGAATCTTGCATTATAACAAATACATTGTAACAACAATAAAACAATAAAAAGATAAACTGACATTTGACCTTACGAAATTATTCCTTAAATAGACTGACCGACACTTTAAACCCTCAGTAAGAAAAAAATATTTAGAGTGATAACTTAACCCTCTTTTGAATAATAGTAAAAATGCTCATTAGTTCAAGTGTCCTAACATTATGCCTACAATCCTTCAATGAACTGATTATGGTTGAATTGAAAGGCCCGTACACGGATGATCTTGAAAACCTTAAATCGCTACGGGGAGTCTGGACTTGTCGCGCTGATGGTTTCATTAGTGTCATCATTGGTTTAGGCATCTCGGAATCGATCTCCATTACTCTTATACCAATTATTGAACAACTTTTGGTCAAAGGATTCAGTTTTGGAGTCTTCAACTGGATCAAGTATAATGGCCCACCTCTGGGAACGTTGGAACCACTACTTCCGCTCGTAGTTGACAACTTTGTCATCGTTCGCGCAGGACCAACAACCATGTTTCTAAAGGACAATCGTGAACAAGAACGAGTTAGAAATCTCATCAACAATGATATGATCTAAAAAAGAAATCAAATTAATTAAATTTGTGACGATGAAAATCAATGTTACTTGTATCAATGCTTACAATAAACGTACAGCTAATAAAATAATTAAATCTGTGATTAAACCTAATTCAATAATTATCACATCCGAGGATGTAGATTCGGATCAACTAAATTTCAAAATACTTGGTGACAAAATCAGTTTAACTTGGGGTAAATTGTGGAGGGTAGTCAAAACGATTCATTACTCAGAAAGGATAGTTTTCTCTTACCTCAAATATGACAGATTATTAGTCGCGGTAATTGCTGTCTACATATCTCCTAAAAACATTAATACCCTAAAAGATCTGGTTGAACTACTGGATAACTACAATCGTGCGATTCCTCTGATCCTGGCCGGTGACTTGAACATTGAACTGGAAAAATGGACTGAAAACCCAAGAAAGGAATACCAATGGGATGGTGAACTGGTGAGTCGCTTAGATAAAGCTTTAAATAGATTGAAAATGATAACAATGATGAAAAAGAATGAATTTACACGTAAATCGAAAGGGAGAAATTCAACTATCGATGTGATATTAACGAATTTAGTGCTAAGAAACATTGAACCTCATTACATTGATCATGAACAATTAGACCATAGAATCCTGGTGGTCAATGCTGATGTGAAATATCGTACGTGCAAGTTGACCAACAATCAACCGAAGACTCTGATTTATGATGAAACCATTATTAATGAAAGCGAAGACATCGAGCAAATGGTCTGTTCAATACTCAACATGGGGATCGCTAAATATAAGAGAAAGATCCTCAGTGGTAATCGAAGAACTAGAAGAAAGAAAAAGAAAAACAAGCGATTAGGAAGAAATGGGAAAAGTGAGGAAAAGATAATGGTTGTTCAAAATAAAAGAATTAAATATTGGAAGATGACAGACCTTGAAATTCATAAATGCATTCGCATAAGAAAATATGATAAAAATATAACGTTGGAAAGACCCATAAATAACAAAATGCTACGCTTTGAACGCTGGAAAATAGAAAATTTTAACTCCAGACAAATCTTTATGATGGGTCTAAATGAAGAGGAAAAGAACAGGATCTTGAAGATGAAATTTAAAAAGAGCTCAGGTTGGGCTGACTCCTTCACGATTAGCAGATGGAATCGGGTTTGGAAATTCAATAAAACCAACATAGTAGAATTGATTGATAAAATTTTCAAAACAGGTGACATACCTTCACAATTATTAGTTAGCGGAGGGACGAAAATCATGAAGCCCACTGGCGGGTACCGAATTGTTCGCACTCAGTCCTTCTTATCTAAAATCATAGATAAAATTCTGTATGAGAGACTTTTAAAATTTTCATCTGATAAATTGGACAAAACCTTACAATTCGCATATACTGGACAGGATAGAATCGATCTACTCGCGGAAACATATTCATGCAAAGATGACTATACATTCATCATGACAATGGACATTTGCAAGGCATTCGACAAAATAGACAGAAAAGAAATGTTAATCAGGATGGAAGGTCTTGACTTACAAACGAAAAGGCTAATTACTAAATTTGCAACGCACCGGAAAATTAGGTACTTGGGAAACAACAATAAATTAGTGATAGAAGAAGATCCGGAGGGTCTGCAAGGATTTTCACTTGGTCCACTTCTATTTGTTATTGCCCTCGACTCTACCTTGAGATGGCTCAATAGATCACCATTGGAACAGAGAGTCTTAGCCTTCGCTGATGATTTGCTGGTTATGACGAATGATCGTGCAAAAACACTGATGGAAGTAAAGTCCTCAATGGCACTGATAAAACTAGAAATGAATGAGCAAAAAACTAAATCTCTGGTTTTCGATCGCCCGCGTTATCCTTCAGAATTCCTGGGTTTCAAGCTGTATGAAAATGGTGAAAAATTAACGATTGACAAGGCCAGAAACCAGATCCACTTGAACTGTAGCCAAAGAATATTTTTGAAAGAATTGAATGTCAAACAATTAAAAATGGTATATTCAGCTTACCTCAACCACATCATGGATCGATCTGGTCTTGCACCATGGTATAAGAATAAATTATTCAATTACAAAATAGATACAATGATAATGTGCGGCAGAAAGATCACAACTGGTTTTATGAGTAAAAACACATACAGAACGCTATGGACAGACTATCTTCATGATTTACCAAACCCGTTCTTCTCGTATTTCACGAAAATTGCCTTAGCTATAATTAAGAGGAGAGAAGAAGATGATTATCCTGTTATAAAAACACTCAAACTTCTAGGTGACAACTTTAATTTGAATCAAATCAGTGAAGAGACAATGAACACTGGGGTAAAAAATACGGTTATTCTACGATACCATAAAAAAGGCATTTGTCTATATTACGATAAGGTTCACGAACATTACAGTTACGATGTAATGAAATCAGTCAATCAGAATACAATTACGTTATCAGTGGTCTCGAAACTAATCAAAATGTTCACCTTTGAAATGTTTTGTGGCATCAAAATGGGTAAGGGAACCACGGAAAAAGCTTCGGCAATGACAAAACTGAACAACTCCATTATCCGACATGAAAATCTGGCAGAATGCAAAGATGAACTGGTATCGACGAATATAAAACCAATGTTTAACAGTATGGAATGGAAGAAACAAATTAAAAGAATATTAATAATGAGAGAGAAATCTATTTTTAACAGGAGAATAAAAGGATTATTCAAAGAAATCATGTCCCATAAACCTTGGATACTCAGATATAATAGTGCACTTTACAGTTCTTCGATGATGGGAAAGATTGTGAGAATAGATGCGAATCTTAATTACCTGAAACATAAATGCAGTGTCACAATGAATCTTCATCATGTGGGCAAATGTCCTGATTATATACCGGAAGGAGGATGGAAACTCAAAAGAACAAACATTAAAAAGATAAATGAAAAACTAACAAAAATGGTTAAGATAATCGAAGAAGAAAATAACTTCACAAAAACAAACGCTCGCAGAGACTAAGGTCGACTCTCATTGGGAGAGCCCCGTCATGGGGGAGCAGCTGTTGAATCAGCAGTGGGTCACCACAACAAAAATTACTCATGGAACATAAATTACATTTGATTTCGTTTCTTTTTATTTCTTATTATCTAAATTAAATTTAGTTGAATTGGTGTTTATTTTTTTTCTACTCTGTGAATAGTCTATTTGGAATATTAACTGATTATGTATGGACGTCAAATTAGTAGAATTGGAGGTCGATATGGTAATTCTTCTTCTTCTTCTTCTTCTTCTTCATCTTCATTCTGCTATTCACCTATGAACAAGTTTGGTATTTCCTGTGATGTTTGTTGCCACTCGATTCCTGGTGAACACAGAAGAGCAATTTTCGCAATCGGCTCATGTGATCATCCAATTTGTTATCATTGTTCAACCAAAATGAGAGTATTATGTGAACAGAATGAATGTCCCATTTGTCGTCAAGATGTTTCTGAGGTAAGTTAGCTTCTATTCTGATGATCCTCTTTTGGAACAACTTTTGGTCTTGATTGATCCTTCAAAGTTCGTCATTCGTTCTTTTTTCTTTGACTTTTTATTTTACCTTTTAGATTATTTTTACCGAATGTTCTCGAAAAAAATTTAGTGACTTCGATTTATCGAGATTCTATTTCGATGATAAATCCAAAATTTACTTCGAAACTCAAAGCTGCTTTGATACATTTAATTCTCTTCTTGAAGAAAAATGTAAAAGATGTAATACAACTTTGGAAAGTGTAAATGAATTACAGGATCATCTATGGCACAAACACAGATTATTAACGTGCCAAGTTTGTGTTCAAAATTTAAAAATTTTCAGTGAAGAAAGAAAATATTATAATTCTGGACAATTGGAAGATCATATGAAGATTGGTGATCCAGACGATCGTTCATTCCAAGGACATCCAGCTTGTCAACTTTGTGATCAACGTTATGTCGACTCGGAGGAGCTAAATCGTCATTTACGTCGAGACCATTATTTTTGTCATCTTTGTGATAGTAAAGTTATCTATTTCAACAAATATGAGACTTTGAATCAACATTTTCGTGAGAAACATTTTCTATGTGAAGAAGGGCCTTGCAAAAAAGAACAATTTACTTCTGTTTTTCGAACTGCAATCGATTTGCAAGCTCATAAAGCTCAAAGTCATTGTCTTACCAAATCGGAAGCCAAACATGCACGAACTTTGAATTTGGACTTTACCTTCAATACTGCACCTCGAGGTCCGAGAGCCGGTGGATTTAATTCACAGGTTGTTGCTACTCTTAATGACGATGGTCTGTCCAATTCCAGAGGAGGTGGCAGTCGAAGAGGTAGAGGTGGAGATCGAGGTGATCGTGGAGATCGTGGAGATGGAAATGATAGAGGTAATGATCGTAACCCTCCAAATATATCAGAAGATTTTTGGATTCCCGACGATCTTTCTAGTCTTGGAGCTGCAGGTCCTATTCAACTTAGCTCAGAAGATTATCCATCACTTGGAGATATAAGTAAACAAAGACCACAAGATCGCTCTGTTGCCAAATTGGTAGCCAATGATGTCACTAATGGCCAGGACTTAAAAGCTTGTGCAAAACCTAAACAAAAGTTTAGTACAAAAGTGAAGGAAAGTGGCACTTTCGGTAACAAAGAAGATGAAGAGTTTCCAACCCTTTGTGCTCCTGAGCCTTCATCTCCACTTGCTTGTGCCAAACGAGATGGGAAAAAGACCAAAGCAAGTAAATTGTCGATGAAAGATGTAGCCCAATTGATCGAATCCAAACAGTTCTGAAGACCAAGGGAAGCCATTCAGCCAACCATTTAGCTTCTGGTGAATTGGTCGCTGTTAAAACAGGTGACGAATCTTTTTTTGATTTCTCTGGAGCTCGGTCACTTGGATCAATAGAAAATGAAGACAGTCAACCTCCAGTTAAAAGGAGAAAACAAGATGCCAAGAGTGGTAAAGGATTGAGACATTTCTCTATGAAGGTATAAGTGCTTTGCTATTCCCATCACTTCCTCTATACTTTTGTTTTCATTTCATTTCATTCGCTTGTTCATCATAGTTTAAGGCTCTCATACATTTGAACAGAAGTTTGCATTTAAGTTCATGTCCTTAAATCTAAATTATATATTGTTCATTATTTTATCTACCCACAGGTTTGTCAAAAGGTTAAAGACAAAGGAACAACAACTTACAATGAAGTTGCCGATGAGCTGGTCGCTGAATTTTCCGCTGACCCTATCGCCAGTAGAGCTGCTTTCTCGGGAAGATACTCAGGTGATGATGCTTGGTGATGATGTTTTGACCAAAAAAATATTCGTCGTCGGGTTTACGATGCGCTCAATGCTCTTATGGCAATGAATATTATCAGCAAAGAAAAGAAGGAGATTAAATGGAGAAAGAAAAACAAGAAAGAGAAATTAAGAGATCTGCTTATCCAACACATCGCTCTTCGAAAACTAATCGAAAGAAACAAAACTGATCCCGTTGTCTTTTTGAACACTAAAATTCACCTTCCTTTTATCATTATAAATATCTGTTCAGTTTCGATAATTTTCACCTTTATCATCGACCAATCAGCTACAAATTCAAACACAAAACCAAAACCAAAATCAAAACGATATTAATTTTATTACCTGTTATTCAATTTACATTATCAACTAAAAAAAAAAAAATAAAGAATTGAAATAATTTTGCTCAACTGTGTTTCTTTCAAATTGAATCTCTTCGAACAATTTAATGTTTAATAATAATGATAATCAACAAATGATGAGGAAATTGTGGTAAAGAGAAAGAGAGAGAAACGGTAATTATTATTATATCTTTGATTTAGCAATGATGATTAGTTGATTCCAGCAAAGCAAATAACAATTTTATCCAAGAGTCTGAGAGAGACGCAAATACACATGAAGAAAGAGGTGCTTTTCTTAATTGTTAAGTTTACAATTTAGTGGATTGGTAGAGATGCGATGAGAAGTGTGAACATTGGTTTCCAAATAATATTAAGATTTTATAATGTAATTTATGTATAATTATATTCACGTGGCGCGAAGCTGTTGATTGTTTTTCTCCATGTTTAATGGCTAAAAAATTAATTGATTTTCTTTAGAAAAAGTTGTTGTTGTTGTTTGTGTCTTCCAATATTTTACTTTTCTTTTTTTTGTCTTTTCTTTGAAATTCTATCAATTGATGATGATACTTCCTTTCTCTTCCACCATTTCATCCAAACTTGATCTTAAAGCTTCAGGTAGTGATGATCTCGCTTTCTCATAAGCATCTCGATCAATTTGTACTAAATCATTTCGATCCAATCCAAGTGCCATTCCCATTCTTTTGAGAACTTCAACATCATCATGAATTTCGAAGGCATTGTCGAAATTGAACAGATATTCTGTCTTGTCGTTACTAATCGAACAATCGATGATCGTGCGTTTATCGGTATTTACAATGATAAAAGGAAGGTGAATTTTAGCGTTCGAAGAGACAACGGGATCAGTTTTGTTTCTTTCGATTAGTTTTCGAAGAGCGATGTGTTGGATAAGCAAATCTCTTAATTGCTCTTTCTTGGCACTAATTTTCTCTAATCTTTCTTGTTTTTCTTTCTCCAATTCGACAACTTCTTGAGAAGCATTGGTTGGTAGACCGATCCATTTAATCTCCTTCTTTTCTTTACTAATAATATTCATTGCCATAAGAACATTGAGCGCATCGTATATCCGACGACGGATGTTCTTCTGATCAAAAGGCTCAGCATCATTATCTGAGTATCTTCCTGAAAAAGCAGCTCTACTGGCAATCGGATCGGCGGAAAATTCAGCGACCAGCTCATCGGCAACTTCATTGTAAGTTGTTGTTCCTTTGTCTTTAACCTTCTGACAAACCTGTGAGCGAACATCAAGACAAATTATAATTAGAAGGGAAAAAATTTGTAAGCCTCACGAGTTTCCATGTGAGTAAAATTTCCATCAAAGAAATATATGAATCATGGATTTAGCTGATTAAAAAAGCAAACATAAAAATATAGAGGAAGTGGTGGGAATAGAAAAGCGCTTATACCTTCATAGAGAAATGTCTCAATCCTTTACCACTCTTGGCATCTTGTTTTCTCCTTTTAACTGGAGGTTGACTGTCTTCATTTTCTATTGATCCAAGTGACCGAGCTCCAGAGAAATCAAAAAAAGATTCGTCACCTGTTTTAACAGCGACCAATTCACCAGAAGCTAAATGGTTGGCTGAATGGCTTCCCTTGGTCTTCAAAATTGATGGACCAGCACTCATAGTTTTAAGAAGAGCCTAGAAGAGTATGTGAAAGAGATAGAGAGGAGAGAGAGAGAGAATACAGGAAGATGGTGTTTTAAAAGACAATGGATAAGGTGGTAATGCGATTAAGACACAGGAAAGGAGAAGAAGGAGAAGGAGAAATAAAGTGTGTGAGAGAGATAGAGAGTAGAATAAAAGTAACAGAAAATAGAGAAGAAATTAAAATAAGTAGGTAATGAGTGTTGGAGATGAAGAGAATTGGCTAATGTGAGGCACACCACTGATTCTTTAAAATAAGAGCCACAAGCGATAGCAATTAGATAGAGATTAGCACTGATAAAGTAACCAAAAATCCTAAGCATTCACGGAAAGAAGAGTGAGTAAGTGAGTGAGAGAGAGAGAGAGAGAGAGATTAAAGAGAAAGCGAAATAGAAAAAAAGAAAGAGAAGAATGAAGATGAAGAAAGGAATACCCAAAGAACCAGAGACCAGTAAATGTACAGTGAGTGGTAAATGAGAAAAAATTATGACAGCAAAGAGAAAAACAGGATAAAACGAAATGTGTTAAGAAGAAGCAGAATGAGAAAGGAAAGAAAGAGATTGAAAAAAGAACCGAAAGAGAAAAGAGAGAAAGAAAAAGAAAGAGAATAGAAAAAAACCAAATCAAAGTGAACACAAAACAAAAACAAACCTTTTCCGCTAAAGACGAAAATGGATAAATCAAATAATCTCAACCAAGATGAATTAGTCGCAGGTAAATCACAATCAATTCCAAGCAAAATTCACTAATTATCAATTGAAACCCAAGAATAATAATTAAATTGTCAAAGAAAATCACCAAAAACCGCGAACGTAGTGTAAGTATAATCGATCATTTTTCGATCTATTGATTCCGATCGATCTTCAAATGATCGATGATCGACCAAGCGAACTGTTACCAGGGGCCATCGATATATTATCGACCTTTAATTGTGTTCGTTGTTTTTTCATCTCAAATTCTGGTTCGATTTCTGGTTAATTTTCTGGTTTAAGAAAATAACACAATCAACAGTAGCGAATGAAGAAAATTCTAACTGTTGATAATCAATTTTTTTGTTCGTTTTCTCTACATTTGGATTATTATTGATTCTTTTCTTTTCTTCAGGTTGACTTAATTGAAGAACGATTTTAATTAATTGCTTGTTAATTGCTCTCTTTTCGCGAATAGATTAGAAATTATTAAATTCTCAGAATTTTCTAGGTAGCGTTTTTTTTAACTAATCTTTGTTTTTCTTGTCTTTATTAGTTGATTGTTGGTCAAAAATGTAGCAGTTGATTGATTGTATTTCACACATTTGATTAACCTATTGGTAGAATCGTGTCAAGATTGATTTTTAATCATTCTCAGATTTATGTATAGATTATCATTGTACCAATTGACTATATTACTTAAATTAACAAGATGGTGAATAGATGATTAATGAATATCAAACTCTCTTCTATACAAATCAGAAAAAAAGAAACGAGAAAAACATGATTAACTTAAGAGGCTAATTCATTTTTATCGAATGAATTGACAATCAAAAGGAGCTCATGAAAAGTTCGTTCGTTCCTCTTCATCATAATATGGTTCAAATTTATGCATCGAATCTAAAAGTTGCTGTTGTTCCGGTAAAATGGCGACTCTTGGTTCTCTCCTATGCCATTGAGATTTAAGATTTTCTTTAACATGATGAAGAACACATCTAACATTAACAGTTTCCCTTGGATTCTTATTAACGGTAATTTGTATGGCAAAATCTTTCAGCTCATTTTCAATATTTGGTCCAGTTATCGGTTCATCGGGTAATTTAATTGCATAATCGGGAACAACTAAACCAATCTGACGACAAGCAACCCTAATGTGCCAAGGTTCAATTTTCCAAGGAGCATCTGAACTCATAGTTACCAAGATAAATTGTGTCGCAAGTTTTTTCGTTGTTACAATGGAAAGACGAGAAGATGGTGCATCCGGATTGTCTAAACATTTCTGAATCAAATCAGCGTAAAGTTTTAAATTCAAATCAGTTGCATAAGTAGCTTGTTGACTTGGAATTAAATTATATCGAGCCATCTCTCCGGGTACTTCCAATACTTCACCAGCAACACCCAAATTGGCAACATTTTCAAGAAGCAAAACTTTCATCGGAGGAACAGGATCATCATCGGTATTATGTATCTCCTCGAAAACATCATCATAACGAATCCTTGGTTTAAGAATTGATTGCTCAGGTAAACGGTCACGAATATAAGGTCCAACAATATAAGGTGATTCCAAATTCTCAGGTGCAAGTAACGGTTCTTGCCATCTTTTGAATTTCCAAATATTTCGCCGGCAAACCAGTGAACAAGTACGTACAGCTAACATTGAACAATCAAATTGACAACAATTAGAAAGAATTAGATTCAAATTAGTAAACTTAAATCACCGAGAAAAGTAAAATTTAAACAAAAATTAATCTCATTTCGGGTCAACACCAAAAACATATGTTCTTAAGCTCCGCCCTTTAGACGAAGGGGAAAAAGTTAAGGGTAGTAAAAGAAAAGCGCGTAATTTGAAAAAGAGAAAATATTTAATTGTAATAAATGAAATTGAGAGAAATGTTTCATTTTTGAGCAAAGTTGAAACGAATTGTTTGATTTTTATTTTACAATTTTTTAGTTGTTTTGTTTTTTGTTAATTTTCCAAGTTAATTATCATCATGTTTCATATATATGAGAATTTGCTTTGTTTTTGTTTTCTTTCGTATCTTATATTGAATTAGCAACACTCGCTAGAGTAAATTACTGACATGATTAAGCCATGTAAGAGGTTGACTATTGTTTGTAAACAAAAGGTCAGTTTTATCGTTGACCGATTGTTATTAGTATATAAGAAGATGATGGATGAGAAAAAGTTGCGAGAGAGAGAAAGAGAGAGATGAAGACATTTTTTTGTTCTTGGAAGAGAAAGAAAGAGAGAGAGAGAGAGAAAGATTAATACAAATTAATTAACTTTACAATGATTAGTAAACAAATTTTTTCGAGAACGAGAGCACTGATTAAACACTAATTGAGGAAGATTGATTTTAGAGTAATTAACAAATTGTTCTAATAGTTTTTTCTTGTCTTGTTTTCACGTTGATTTGACAATCATAACATTTTTTTGTATTCGTAATTGTTTTTTATATTAACAGTGGTTGATGGTTGATGTTGTTGTCGGTGTAACAATCAAAGTTAATCAACATGGTTGAAATTGCAGTTATTATTATCGTCAAGATGGATAACCAATAGGCAGAGGAAAAGGAAATGAACAAAGTGAGAAATTCAGAGAGAGAGAGAGAGAGAGAGAGAGATTAGGCACTTATTCATATTATTTTCATTGGGAATCGGTGGTAGACAGAAGAAGATGATAATGAAGATAAAAAGAAAGAGATGATTTTCTAGATTCAGTCTATTATTCACAGAAAAAGGGATGGACAAACAGGAAGAGGAAATGGTTTGGAAGGAGGTTGATGAAAAGTGGGAGGAAGAGATCAAGAGATGAGCATTTAGATGAATTTACTTTTGGCTGTTTTGCTTTTTGTTTTTCAATCGATTCCTTAAATATTTACAACGAAATTATCAATGTTGAAACTACATCGACAATTCTCAATAATTGATAAATAATCAATTTAAACTAAACATAATTGAGAAAGAAAACAAAAGAAAAATCATCCAAATCAATTGGGAGAAAACGAAAACAGGAAAAGGAAACAGTAATGATAACGAAAAAATCTTCTCCTTCATCTCTTTTTCGCTCATATTTTTTTTCTAAATTGTTATTAATTTAATCTATCTTTCTGCCCTTTAACAACTTTGTTAACAACATGATAATAATCCTCTGATTGTGATTAATTGTTCTAATTTTTAAACGAGCTTCTTTGATCAGTGAATTGAGATCACAAATGGATAACGAAAAGAAAATGAGAAAACAATAATCGAGGATTAATATTAACAAGGAAACAGATTAAGAGATTAATATAATCGGTGTTACTATTGTTGTTCTGTTTGTTAATTATCAAATGATTAGTTAATTTGATTTCGTCCAATCTTTTAATAGCTTTCACTTTGTATCTCAATCATTTGGTTACTTGTTTTCTGCAATTAAAGTTAATTGTTTGCAATAAAAAAACACAACTTTTGGCAAAGAAGATGATTAAGATGATGATAATGATGATAATGATGGTGATGATTATGATGATACTGTTGATGATGATTATGATTGTGATGATAACGATGTTGATGATCAGAGAAGAGGATAAAACATAATATTAATTGTTGCCTTGTAAATGATAACAAAAGATGATCATGTTAAAACAATAGTATCTTAATCATATTTCCTATGATAACATTGATAATAATTAATTAGTCTTAATCTTAATTATAAATAATAACAACCTAGAGGATTTTTGTAAATGTTGATGGTGTTGTTTTTGTTAATTCCTTCTTGTTGATCGATTGATTTTAATTGTTGTTGCCACCATGTTGGATTAGTAGCTCAATTTAACATTGATAACTGTAATTATCCGACAAATTTGATTGTTAATTTGATTACAGTTAATCTTAATTTTGTTAACTATTAGTTAAATTGTTTTTATATTTGATTCAATTTATGAGCTTTTCAATTGTAGCTTTTGAGTATCCGATTGTTGTGAGCTGTTGTTTACGTTGTGGTTTTGTTAATTGTGATGATGATTAGTAAATTGTTTGCTTTTCCAATTTTTTGTTTCTAATTTGATTTAAGGTGAGTTGATGATTATCATCGATTGTTTTGCTTTCCCATTAATTAATTGTTAACGGAATAGATGATCAATTTTACAAAAGAGAGAGAGAGAGAGAGAGAGAGATAAATGATAATTAGGAAACAATAAACTCCTCTTTAGAATTCATTATAATCATTTGATTGTTGGAAACCAATGGCAACAATTTGAGGTTCAAGTTGACTTATTGATGTTGCTTATCAGTGAATACGAATTGTTATTTTCCTTTTATTATTATGGTTGATCATTTTCAAATTGTCTCGATGATTTAACTAATTGTGAAAATTTTCTCTCCAAACAATTTGAAACTAATTCGGTGAACCAGAGGCGCTAATATGCATATAGATGATCCAATACATGAGATTGAAGCAAATAAAGCAAACAGGAAATACAACTCGAGAATATTTATCAATATCACTTGGGCTTACACCTAACATCCGATTAGGATCTTTAGGTCCAAAAGGTACAGGAGTCGGTGGTTGATTAGGTCCACCACCAGGTCCACCTCCTCCTCCTCCACCACCACCTCCAAGGGCTATTGAGCTTGATTCATTAATCATTTTACCTGATGATTGTTTCGCTTCCAAAATTCTTGGATTCATTTTCTGAGGACAACCACCATAGACCATTTTAGGAGGTGGTCCACCGATACAACGATTACCTTGATGATGAACCTAAATTAAATTAAATTTCAAACAAAAAATAATCAATTACAATCATTTCTTATACAAGAACTCATTGAGAAAAAAAATTAAATTAAATTTCTCTCCCAGTAAACTGAAATTGAGAATCGAAGTTGATTTTTCAGGACTATTTGGATTACGAACCGGATTTTTAATACCACAGGGTAGTTGAAGAGCAGGATCGAGGGGCAATCCTGTTGTGGCACAGATTAATTGAGGGGGAACTTGTGCGGCACTTTGTTCGGCTGCGGCAGCCTCAGCAGCGGCTGCTGCGGCTGCACACTTTCTCCGATGCTCGTCGGCCAATTTGGTTAACTGTTCAATTCTCGATTTTCTCATTGCAATACGTTTACCAAGATAACCAACGGTCGCATATTCAAGGAGGGAAGCGAAAACCATAACGAAACAAGTTCCAAGGAAAACATCAATCGATTTGATATAAGATATTTTCGGAAGTTGGGCATTTGTTGAAGACATTAAAGTTGTCATTGTAAGGACAGTGGTCACACCCAGTGAAACTCTAGCCGGAGTTGCATTACGATGTAACCAAAATGATACCCAACTTATCACCACTATAAGGCTTGCGGGGATGTATATTTGTATCAAATAGAAACCCAAACTTCGTGAAAATTTAATTTTACAAATCAATCGAGAGTAATTGCCTACATGGAGAAAGAGAAGAAAAAAAAACAAAATAATAATCAGAATCATCATGAAAACATGGAAACCATTACAATCATCATAAAAATTTCATGTTATTTACTATTGATAATGATGATATCGTTTGGAAACATTTTCATCATCGTTATTATTATTGTTATTATTACAAAAAAATTTTTTCTTCTTCCTCTCAAGTTTATCATGAAAATTTTTCAACAGAAAAAGTTTAGTTAAAATAGTGAGTATTATTCAAATAATGAATAATATCGCTGTGATGTGATCATTTACGATTCTGATTATGAATTGAAATTTCTTATAAGATATTATTTGTATATTATATGAGCATTATCAATGATATATGTTTGTTATTTATAAATTTTTCACCATCTCTCCTCCTTCCTATTTCCTCATCCTCATCACTTCATCATCAGATCCTTCATGTTTCCGTTTATACTTTAATAATAACAATAAGTAATTCCAGTGATAAACTTTCAATTCTGATGTTAACTCCATGTAAATAACAAGTTGATACATTTTTCAATCATCAAAATATGAAAAGTGTAACTGTTTCCAACGTCTAGTCAGAATTATCTTGGAAAAAAACAGGAAGAGAATCATCATCATGAAGAAAAAGTGTCACTCAGTTTATTCAAATTGACGATGATCAGAAACAAATTCAAAGTATTTCAATCGATTTGATTGAGAGAAACAAAAAGATTCAACTAATTGAACTTTGAATCGCGAAAATTGAAGGAGAAATAGATGGTGATGATAATATTGAGGAAGAAAATGAAGACCTTAGTTGATGATAAAGATGAGGATAGAACGAAATTGGAAATCTATTGATCGAATGGAAGTTTTATACAAATAACTGAGAAGCTTATGAATTCCAACTCCCTGCAGGGAGAAGAAATATTCATATTAGACAGAAAAGAGCATAGAATGAGTGTGTGAGAGAGAGAATGAAGATGAGGATGAAAAAGGATTTAAGATAAATTAATGTAAAGATGATAAAGAAAAGAAGAAAATTCTCAATTTTCATGGAAATGAAAAGAAAAAAAGAAAAAAAAGTAATACAATTTTTCATCTTCTTCTTTATCATCTGAAAAGTTCTTAACCCCCTTTGGATCATTTTCGAAAGAAATTTTCTGGGAGTAACCGGAAATAACATATATAAATAAAAGGATGAATATAATATGATGAGGGAAGATGAAAAATAGAAGAAAATTTTACAACAAAGCTAAAGATGCTACGCATAGTCGTTGGTAAGAGATGATGATGATTATCCCAAAATCTTTGTGGTTCCTGGATGAGGATAAATCCAGGACAAGGCAAAAGGGTTTATATTATTACAAGAGATTCATAAATGACCATAATCATCAAGATAATCATGCGATCATCATCGTTTTCATGATTGAAATAATGTCATATAATTCAAGTGTGAAAACACATCACTTGAATCAAGAACATTATTCAGAACTTTTTCTCTATCTCTTTTTAACAAAATCGATCCAAAATATCATCTAAAGGGCTAAATTGATATTTCTATTTATAGTTCACTGAATGGTGAATGAAAAAAAGATGAAGACAAAATGGACACAGTTAAGAAAGAGGATGAAGATGATAATGGGAGAGAAGAAAATTTTTCTTTCTTTATTCAGTTTTTCTCTCTCTTTATCTTTTCGAACTCGATTCATCTTCATTTCGATTCAACTTTTATCTTTTTTTCTCTTTCATTTAATTCTCTCATTCTGAAATCACCTCATCCTCATCTCTTCATCTTTGACCTCCTCCCTGTCTTAATCATCATTTCTCTCTCTCTCTCTCTCTCTCTCTCCCATAAGGATAACTGATTTCAGGTTACAATCAACTGGACAAAACCAATTTTATCCTTTGACCATTTGACTTTTTCTTCATCTTTCTCATCTTTCCTCCTCCCCCACTCTACTTTTCATCCTCATCCTCCATTTCTGTCTTATCTTTATCATCTTCTTTCATCTTTTATCATCAAAAATGTTTGTATCACATTACACACTTTTTTACTCTCTTTTTACCTCTTTCCTTGTATCACTTTACTGTCTATTCACCTGATTCAGCAACTTCAACCTCTCATAATAATAATAATAATAATAATAATAATATTTTCTCCCTCTCTAATGCTCAATTTCATGATAATATTATCAATAATAAAGGAAAACAACAACGACAACAAATGAGCCACAAAGAAACAACGTAACGAAATGATAACAATACGAATAAAGAGATTGAAAAGATCTAACGAAGTAGAAAACAAAAAGAAAAAACAAATTTCTTTCCAACACAATCAACAATCAACAATCAATATAATTTAATTAAATTGTAACAATATACAAATTAAATTAAACTATCTCGATATTCAAGTTACCAAAAAAAAGACAACTTAAAACTTAACATAACTTCAAACCATCAACATGTAAATAAATCACCAATTTGATTGTAATGATTGGTTGTTTTTTTTATATGTTAGTAATACAATTTGTTAATTGTCAGCTAATTGTTACCTGTTGTTAATGCAGCAATTGCTGATTCTTGTTCATGACCCATAATTTTAAACTGTGGTAATGTCACATCTCCTTGAACTCCCACTGACTTGTTACCCTTTGACCAAACATATTTAATATCCAGCATAGAGTAACCATCTAGAAGAGTAACAATTAGATTAAATTGATTAGTTGACAACAATTAAGATCTTAAATTACTTTATATACTTACAACTTTCTATTTCTATTGAGCAGGCTTGTCTATCCATAGGAAAGTATTGTAAAGACATTGGACAACTTGCAGTTACTGTTAACCTGTGAAAGTAAATTACAATTAAATGATTAAATTTAAGAGCATCAATCAGGTAGGAAATCAAAAAATTACAAGGGAAACACCAACAATTAATTAATTGTTTGAACACGTTGTCTGGTTTTCTAACTCACAATCAGTAATGTTGATTAAAGTTAATCAACATTAAGATGATTGAGATGTTTAAATTCATGAGTTTATTGCGTGATCACTGATATTTATTATCATGATTATAATCACAATTAAACCAATTCCGTGAGATGATTAACCAACAATTTAGCTGATTCTTTGACACACAAAATAACAATAAATAACAGCAGTCAAACAAAATAACAATTAAGATACTTGGATTAGTTAAGATTTGTTGTTTGTATTGATTGAATTTTAAATTAAATTCATGATAAATAGTTAATCAGTTTTACCTTTAATGTATCACAATGATAACAATTAACTTTCAATGATCATAATTAATGACAACAATACAAATCAAGAGTTTCATTTGTCTACTCTTGATGATGACATGTAATCACGGAAGAGACTGGGAAAAGTTAATTTCATTGATTAAATTGTTTGCTATTATTTAATTGTCTTCCATAATCAAATTTGAATTAAATAATCAGATGATGATAAGGATGATGATGGGGTTGGAGTGGAAAGATCAACCTGATGGGAACATGATGAAAGTTGAAAAGTTTTTTACGTGATCATTGTGATTAAATTTGCTTAATTAGTACAAATTGCTAATGATAATATTTAATTAATGATCATAATGAATATCAGTTGATTGTGGTTCCAAATTTCACTTGAAGTGGAAAATATTTTCCCTCTCTGTTGATTTAACCCAATTTTCTGAATGAAAAAAAAGGAAAATATCAATTGTATCAAATTGTTGAACAGTTGAAACAAAAAATTAACTCGATAATTAATGAATCTCAAGTTTGATTTGTAACCAATTTCTAATTGGAAATTCATTGATGTTAATAGCTAATTTAGCTAATTTATTAATAGTAAATCTATTTTCCACCTCCCAACATTATCATTTCCTATTCATTTAACGTATTCATCAAAATCTATTCATACCTTTTGTCATCATCATCATCATAATGATAACATGAACATTTGACATGGGAAGAAAAATTCACCCTCAGTAACTGTAAATTATCAGCTTTTTGTAACTTAATATATTGTCATCATCATGATAATATCATGTTGGTCAATGGGAAGGGGAACAGTGGGCATGATGAATTAGTATCAACAATCTAGTTGCAGGTGAATTTGAGTCTGTCTTTTGATTGTTATTCCAATTCTGTTATAAACTAATATATGGATCTTTTGCTTTTTATTTCTTTCCCTCTTTTCCATGAATGTTGGTGTTTCTGAGTATTATTGTTCAATTGAATTCAATTCAATTGAAATCGTGTTACTAATACAAATGGTGATATCTCTTTTGTACTAATAATACATCATCATCATTATCATCATGTCTTCAATAACAACAACTTTCAGAAAGAGATGCTGAACAATCTGATAACCTTAAGAATTGAATAAGACAGAATTTCTCTCTCTCTCTTTCTCTTTCACCTTTTTCTTTTCATCATCTGTAACAATTTTATTATGCAATTGATTCAACCCATGATGATGACGATGATAAGTACATGTAATATTTATGTTTGTCACTGACTAACTCGCCATCATCATGGTAATTAAATGTTCCTCTTTGATTCATGTTACCTTAACATGATTCAATGAGAATATGAATATTTATCAAATGTAAGAATTTTTCCTTATCTCTTTCTCTCTCTCTCTTTCTTGATTTCTTATTCTTACCTGAATTTCCATGGAAACAAAGAATTGGATGTTAAAGATTTTCTTTCACCTTTTTCCTAATTCTCATCACATCTTTTTCGCATCAATATCATCATCATCTTGATCATGTCAACATGAAAATTGTGATTATCATTAGTTACCTGATACATTTATGGTTAAGCAAAAGTTTTAATATTATTTATCATCAACAAGATTCCTGATTCTATTATGCTAACCTTTCAACCTGAAGTTACAATTTAATCATAGAGAATATTAATTGTTTGTCCATTAATTATATCAATGAATCAGCAACTGTAGAAAATTAATAATTAAAAGGAAAGATAAACTTAATCAAATTAAATGAAGAATCGAGGAAAGGCAAGATCTCCCTCAAGATTTTCAGCCATCAATTATTGAATATTCAGTTGATTATCAGAATGTAATTGTAATTATATTCTGTCAGTTATATACTATAAATATTAAAAAACATGGAAACTATGATAATCATCATTGATTACAAGAGAAACTGAATTAAATTATATTTGATAGACATTGATTATCGATAGACATTAATACATAAGCTTTCATGATAACTCTAAGGTTTTATCATATGTGTTTTGGTTATCATGTTGTGATGAAGATGAGCATGATACCATCGATCAGAATGATGAGCATGATGATGATGAGAATATTTTATAAATGAAAGAAACTTGGAAGATAAGAAAAGATGTCAAAGAAAGATTGAAATGATATGGAAAATAACTTGCATCCTTATTCTGATCATTATGATAAAAGATGAAGAGAAAGTCGAATAGAATAAAGAAGAAAAAAATTAAGGTGACATTTCGATAAAATGATTACTCAGAATATAATCTTCATCCCAATCTTTATCTCCATCTTCCACAAAGAAACAATTGTGTTTACATCCTCATTTATATCTTTGGAAATAATCATTTAATTTATCATCATTAACAGTTACATTGAAACTTTTTGCCTTCTCCATAATAATTGAAGGTGAAACATTGAAATCATCATATTCATTTGTTTTCCTACTAATGTAATCATCTTATTGAAACTTCAATGAAACTCTGATGGTGATGATGATAATCAATGAATAAACCGGTAAGTAGGAAAAGTAAATGAAGGTAGAAAAGGGTTTAAGATGAAAATGAACATAATAATAATAAAGGTGATGATGATAATGCTTTCTCATGATAATATTATCATTGTTATCATGAGATAGAAGCATTTACATTGAAAGTTATCAGGATTAACTGTTCAGGTTCATTGGTTATTTCAGCTTACATCAGGCTTTTATTACCTCCCTGATAACACAACTTAATCCTTGATGAGGAAGCAAAAAAGGATTCATCATGATCAGAATCATGATCATGATAACAGATGATTCTGATGATGATGATGATGATTATCTTAACAAAGAAATTACTATTAGCCATGAAAATTTTACCAAATCCAAAGTGATATTAACCCTTTTCTCTATCTCTCTCTTAAACTCTGTCTGAAACTTACTGTCTTTCCTACCCTTTGAATTTTCATATTACTCCAGTGGATAATAGTAGTAATATCATGGTGGAAAAAAAGAAATCAAGAATTAAGAGATTCCCATGGAAGTTATCATATTGTGTTTCAATCTCTCTTTATGAGATTCAGATTAAAAGTTGGATCCATTTCATTAGCGATAAGAATCAGATTCATATATATTATGTATTTACACTTGGTGATGATCATGAGTGAAAAACAAGACGGTGAAACTTGAGATAGTTAAGATAGAATCATAGATTAAATTAACTTTCGTTATCTATTCAAATCCATTGATTTTGTTTACTCACATGGGGAATAGAGTAAAGTGATAAACATCAGAATGAAAGAAAGAAAACAAAGTAATCAAAGAGAAAGAATTTTTTTTTTCATCTTTTCAATTTAAATTCACAACTTTTTTCGAGCATCTGAAGAGGAAAAAAATATCGAACAGTCTTCATGATGATCACCCTAATCTTTATCGAGAAAAAAAAAGCCAAACAGAGAAAATAGAACTCCAATTGCGAACATAAAATATTAATTGTTGGTGAAATTTTCTTCATGGTGATAATATGTTTTTTTTTACTCAAGGAATTGAATTTTCTATCTGATTGAACTTTTTCCTCATTCCAGTGTGAAAACTTTTGCCACTAATGGGATAAGATAATTTCTCACATTCTCTCTCTCTCTCTCTCTCTCTCTCTCTCTCATGATGCTGATCCTCATCTTCATCACTTGCCTGCCATTACTGTTTAATCAAGTCAATCCCCGGTTTTCAAAGACTAATCCTTTTCCTTCCCAGTTCAATACATAATATTGAGAGTCAGCATTTTGAGGATGATAAAGTGAGAGGTGGAAATATATAAAAAAGCGAGAGAGAAAGATAAGTTCAATTCTCATGAGAATTTCAGTCAAAGTCACTGAAGAAAAGAGGAAGATATCGGTTAGTTCATTTTGGATCAAACGTTTCATTCTGTCGACTTGTCAATTTAACAAAATTCAGCTACGATAATGATGATGCTGATTTGGAATGAGTTAGATAATAATGAACAGAAAAAAAGTAAGTGGGTAGTTTTCATGAAGAGAGGGAAAGATTGTTGAAAACATGAGAATTCAATTTCAAGAGAGAATTTATCTATCCAATAACCGGAAAATTCCTAAACTTTTAGATTATTATATTACTCATATATTCATTAATAGAATTCATAATAATAATAGAAGATTGATATTACAATGGGTTACAAATTTATACAACAATTGTCATCAATATGAATTGAAGATGATGAATCATCCTGATTATCATGGTCGGTAATCAATGATCATTGAGAAAATCATTTCGTACTTGAGATTTAATGGAATCATTTTTTTTTTATTCTTCTTTTTTATTTCTCTTTCGGAGAAAATATTTTTCTAAATAGAAAATTTCTTTTTCTTTTTCGCCTTCTTCACCCATGAAGATCACTTTCTCTTAATCTTGATTATTTCCATTCTCATCATGTTTCCATGGTTACTTGACAAAAATTCTGGTATAATAATAATAATAATAATAACCAGAAGGAAGATAATATCTACTTAGTTTGATGAGCTTTCTACTGTTTTCCCCACCGGTGGTGACATTTCAATTTTTCCTTTCCAGCAAACTAATCATTACCATCATTGT